GTACGAATGTAGCTTAGAATGAGCCGTTGATATCAATTAACATCAGATGATTATAACACTATGACAAAAAATCGTCCTAGCTAAAAGTCATTGCATGAGCCGTTTGGGCAACAATTGAAGTTGACCTAATTTACAGCTTTGGCTTTGGAATGATATACTCCGGTAAAATGATTGCAAAAATTAGAACCATCGTACTTTTGACATGTAGAATTCTAGGTACCGTTAATGTCAATGGAGGCTCATGAAGTTCTAATCTTGTTAGTTGATTTAATTTATACATTTCGAAGTTGTACACTGATTAAAGTGGATAAGAGCGTTGTTAGTGATATGCATAATCTAGCATTCAATAGAATACCGTATAATACTTTAGGTACCTCACGATAATAATATACAGGTACTTTCTTTAAAAAAAAAAACATGTAGAATTCTTTAATTTATACATTTTAAAGTTGTACACTGATTAAAGTGGATAAGAGTATTGTTAGTGATATGCATAATCTAGCATTCAATAGAATATCGTATAATATTCTAGGTATTTCACGATAATAATATACAGGTACTTTCTTAAAAAAAAAAAACATGTAAAATTCTTCCAAGTAAATACTTTAATGACATCGAGATACGAATTCTGATTATAATTGAATTAACTTATTAACTTGGTATATTTATCTATACCGAGTAATTGTTGGTAAAACTAAAATTATAACTGACTTCTTGTGTAATAGCAGCATCTCCCCTTTCTTTTCTATTAGGAACACAAATTTACACCCAGTAAGGGGTAAGGAATGCAATTTATAGCTTTCATTCCCAAATTCCTTGATTCACCACGCTTGATAGTTGATAGAATGGTAGGTGTGTTTGTTTGGAATTCTTAAGTTCATCCAATCTCATTCGCTCATCCTCAACGTTTTGGTGGGCTGATCAATTGGGCGAACAAAATATTATTGCTATACTCTTTGCGGTGATTTTGATTTGGAAACTTGGATAACTCTCAAGTCCTTATTATAAGACATTTTAATTTTGTCTTAGAACATATCCAACCATTACATTATAATTTACACCAAATTTTAGTGCACAAATGAAATATTCCAAACATCTTTTTACACCAAAATTCTTTACACTCCAACCTTATTGAACAAAAATGTTTACCTATTAAATGTTTTAGTTTAAATTTTATTTTTGTAATTAATTAAAATCATGTAATTTGGTGATAATTTTGAAATTTGTTCCTTATAATTGTTTTTTATTTGATTATAGAAGTATCAAATTTTTTTACTTACTTTTCATGTTCAATTTTAGTAATAACTAAAATTATTTTTTAAAAAAATAAAAATTTATATTCCATATAGGTCTTATTTTGAATATCTCAACAAAATATTTAATATGACATAATTTTTATAACATAATTTGTTTTACAAATTTAATTACATAGCAAATATATCTTTAGAACTAAGAAAAAAGATAGCGCACTAAAAATAGTGTAATGGACAATTTACACCAAATATACACTAAAAATAGTATAATGGACAATTTACACCAAATTTAGTGTAACACTATTCATTGCACCAAAATAGTGTAGTGTAGTGATTAGTGTGTTCGTTGGAGTGAAAACTTTACACCAAAATACTAAATTTAGTGTTTTGATGTCTTGGTTGGAGATGCTCTTAAGTTTCGTTTAAGATGTCTTTTTAATTAGATAAAAAAAACCTTGAAAATATATTTTCACATTCGTTGTGTTCTCATAATTATTACGAAATGTTTTAAGGTTTTTATTTCAATTAAAAATATATCCTAGGTGAAACATAAGACAAAATCAAAATACCTTAGAATACAGACACGAGGGAGCATAACTTTTCTGGATTTATGTTTTGTGAAGTAAAAAAATAAAAAATATATATCTTGAAAATGTAAAAAGTTATTTGAATAATTATTTGAAAAATGCCACCCTTTTTTTTCCTTCAAGATACCAACCAAACAAAGAGTACAATAAGAATTTTTTAAAAATAATTTTTAGCCATTTCAAAAATAGTACCAATACCAAATGTTAACACTGAATTCCATTATAGATAGTGAACTAGGCACCTCTAATTTGATTACATTTATTTTTATTTGTCAGGTTCGTAAATATTTTTAGTTTTCATTTGGTATGCTTTTTTTTTTCTCCTCTTTACATGTCGAACATATCTCAACATATCTTCTAATAATTTTAATTTACCTTTTTACATATTCAATTAGAAAAAACACACATTAAAAAAAACAGTCTAAACATAAGTTTTATTTTTGTAAACATATATATAGAAACTCAACCTTCAAATCATGTAAGTACAGACATTAGTAAAAATCATTTAGATAATCTTCTTTTATGGTTGAAATAAGAAAGACGAACTATTAATAAACAAAGTTCCTTAATATAAGACATTTTGATTTGTTTTAAATTTCAATTAATATGTATTTTTAATTGACAAAAAATCTTAAAAATACATTTTACCATTCGCCGTGTACTATTGATTATTACGAAATATTTTTAAAATTTTTTTTAATTAAAAATACATATTAGATGAAACCATAAGAAAAATTAAAATACATTATAATAAAAACTAGAGGGAGCACATCATAAGCGTATCCAGTATACCTGGGGCACCGTGCCCCCCTCCTATTTTTTGCACGAAGAGTCCTTATTGTATTTTCCATCAATCTTTTTATGATTTGCAAGTTTAGTCCATGTGATTTTTTTCTCTCTTTTAAAAAATATCTATAATCTTTAAATGACCATATCTCATAATCCGTAAAGAATTAGAGAACGTGTTATACATAAAAATTATAGTACTCGTTGAGATCTATTCAACAAGATCCATATCCAATATTTTTTTCCAACTTAAAAATGATCAAATTTATTTGGACAGAATTAAGATCGATATCCAGTACAAACAAGTTAGATATCCAGTACAAACAAGTTGGATAATCAGAATGAACACAGTGGATAACCAGTTCAAACAATTTGGATAAGCATGTAAATCTGTTGGATAACCAGTATGAATACATTGGACATCTAATTTAAGGATAACCAACTTATTTTGAATTCATATTGTTGTGTTCCTTCTATCTTTTGATCCATAAAGAATTATAACACGAATTATATATGAAATTTATAGTGCTCGACGAGATCAATCCCATAAGATCAATGTTGAATATTTTTTTTGAACTTTAAATGCATTTAAATTTTACGGGCAGAAATGAAGAAATGTGTTTTTCGTTTTTTTTTTAAATGGTTATCTGTTGTGTTTATGCTGATTATCTAAGTGGTTTGGACTAGTTATCCATTCTCTTCGTACTTGTTATCCAATCATATTTTTGACATTTACTCTTCAAAAAAAAAAAATGATTGGATAAGAATTGCAAACAATTTGAATCATAAATAGAAAATAATTGGATAATCAGTGCAACATGTTGGATAAATAGTACAAAAAAGTTTGACAATCATTTTCATAAAAGAGAAAGGAAAAAAAAATATTGGATAACCACCACAAATAAGTTGGATAATCAATATGAACACATTGGATATCCAGTGTAAAAAGATAAATAACCAACTTATTTTACATTTATATTATTGTGTTCCTTGTATCTTTTGATTCGTAAAGAATTATAACACAAATTATACATGAAATTCATAGTGCTCGACGAGACATATCTGATAAGATCAATGTTGAATATTTTTTTTGAACTTTAAATGCATTTAAATTTTACGGGCAGAAATGAAGAAATGTGTTTTTTGTTTTTCTTTGAAAAATGGTTATCCGTTGTGTTCCTACTGATTATCCAACCGGTTTGGACTGATTATCCATTCTGTTTGTACTTGTTATCCAATCATATTTTTGACATTCACTCTTCAAAAAAAAAAATAAAGAAAAAATGATTGGATAAGCATTGCAAACAATTTGGATAATCAATAGAAAATAATTAGATAATCAGTGCAACACGTTGGATAATCAATACAAAAAAGTTTGACAACCATTTTCATAAAAGAGTAAGGAAAAAAAATACTGGATAACCACCACAAAGAAGTTGGATAATCAGCATGAACACAGTGGATAACCAGTTTAAAAAGATGGATAACCAACTTATTTTTAATTAAGAAGTTGGATAATCAATATGAAGTGGATGGATATCCAGTACAAGCGAGTTGGATGTCCAGCACAAACAAATTGGATATGCATACAAACCTGTTGGATTACAACTACAAAACAAGTTGGATAAGCATATAAACCAAATGGATAGATATCCAGTACAAGCGAGTTGGATATCTAGTACAAACGAAATGGATATCCAGTACAAACAAGTGGGATATCCATTACAAACAAGTTTGATAGGCATACAAACTAAATGGGTGGATATCCAGTACAAAGAAGTTGGATAACCAGTTCAAACTGATTGGATAATCACCATGAACACAATGGATAACCAATTTAGAACAAGTTTGTTATCCATTTTTTAAAACTGGATATCTACCTCTATTCAATCAGAATTAAGTCATTTTTAAGCCCGAAAAAATATTCACTATGGATTTTGTTGGATAGATCTCGACGAGTACTATAAATTCCATATATAATTCGTTCACAAATTTTTCACGGATTGGGAGATATGCTCGTTGAAAGATTAGAGATGTTTTTTTTTGTAAAAGAAAGAAAAAATGACAGGGATTAAACTTGCAAAATATAAAAAAATTGATAAAAAAATACAATAAGAACTAGAAATGTAAAAAATAGGAGGGGGTACACGGTACCCCCGGTGTATTGGATAAATTGTCCAAAAGATACCGATACCATTATTCTTCAGTAACATACGGTAACGGTATCAATTGCATGTTTTTGTTGAAGGGATAAAAAAACAAATTGGTTATGTGAAATAATACTTTAATAGATAAAGAAAAATATCCAATTTCAGATAACGACAATGTAAAGTATATTTTTTTTTTCAATTTTTTTAAGGTATTTGGTGCTTTAAAAATTTGTTAGGTATGTGACAAAAGCAGAAGAACCGATTCCATGTAAGAACTCCATTTCTTTTTCCTCTCTCTTTTGATGAAAATACAAGAAGAATACAACTCCAGTTGAACTAATCAAACGTCCCACATATGCAAATTGGAACCAGAGAAGACCCCAAAAAGTTGTCGCCCTCCACAAGATTTTCTGGGCTATTTATTGCCGTTGAAGCAAAGCATTTCTTCACGCTTCTTTCTCTCCCTCTCTGCTTTCCACTCTTCCCCACTCTGCTTCTTTGATCCCACCAAAGCTGCCTGTAAAAGAACTTGTACTTTGAATTCCCTTCCTTGCAAGAGATTCACACTTCCTTGATCCTTGGAACTTGTGTTTCAGATTATCCATATTTTCCTTAAAAAGTTATACAAAGAATTATTCTTTGTAATCTGTGTTTTTTGAATGTGTTGTCTTGTAGCTTAGAGGGAAATTTTTTGGTAGCTGAAGGAAGGAAAAACAGGGAAGAAAGGGGGAGAATATTGGTGGGTTTCTTTTAGTTTAACGTCTTCTGAAGGAAGAAGAAAAGGCAAAGGAATAAATAATGTTGGGGTTGGGGTGTTGCTGTTTTGATGATGAGTACGAGCAGCTTTTCTCAGCGGAACCAAAGCAATATTCTTTGCCAGCACCCCTTCCTCAATGGCCTCAAGGTAAAAATTCTTTGATAAATTCTCTTCCCATTTAAAGATTTGATCTTGATACTTATAGTACTTTTGATATTTCTATATTTGACTTGACTCTGGGATTTAATCCAACTTTAGCATAGGTTGTCCGATAAATTTGGTTTATTCAATATTTAATTTGTCCAGTTTCTTTGTAGAATATGATACTGAAAGTGATTAGGATAAAAAATGTTGTTGAAGTGATGATGTGAGGATCGGAAAACTGGATGAGAATTTGACAGGGTTGAAAAAGCTTTTCTGCTTCTCGTTCCTCTTTATTTCTGGCGTTTGTCTAATTTTCACTCCAATTTTTGTTATTCAAAGAGGATTTTGAGGTTAACTCTTTTTCGCTGTTCCTTTATTTTTCGCCTTTGTCAAGTCAATTTTCTGTCTATGCGGCTTTTCTGCACCTATTGAGGAAGTGAGTTGCCTAGTACCTGTAGTATTTAAGTATTGCATTTCGGAATTGGTTGAATTGGGTGCAAATGACTGAGGAAAAGTGTCTATGGAAATTAGCTGAGTGAGAAAGATAGAGTTTATCCTGCTAACAGATTTTCCCTGCAACTGATTTTCGTTACCAAGCTCCTTGTGCTGTATATAACTTATTTTCCTTTCTTAATCTATTGAAGTTAGTAGACAATCAGTCTTTCTAAATTTGTCCTGATTAATTTAATGTCGATTTTGCAGGTCAAGGTTTTGCCACTGGTAGTATATGCCTCGGAGAAATTGAAGTTGTTCAGATTACTAAGTTTGAGAGAGTGTGGGGTTGTAAATCATCGTGGAAAAAAACAAAGGGCGTCTCATTTTATAGGCCAGTAGATGTTCCCAAAGGGTTCTTCTGCCTAGGTCATTACTGTCAGCCAGATGATCAGTATCTGCAAGGTCATGTTTTCGTAGCTAGAGAAGTGGCTGATTCCCCAGATGATCGCCAAACATCTAACTTGGTATTAGATTCTCCGGCTCTTGCCAAACCTCTTAGCTACACACTGGTCTGGGGCTTGGGTTCTAATAAGAATGGCCACGGTGGTTTCATTTGGCTGCCAAATGCACCAGAAGGTTACAAGTCAATGGGTTTTCTGGTAACTAATGAAGAACATGAACCTGAGCTTGATGAAGTCAGGTGTGTTCGAGCTGATCTCACTGAAGCATGTGAAACAGATGAGTCATTATTCAGTGCAGATAAACTTAACATCTGGAACACCAGACCCTGCGAGCGAGGCATGTGCTGCACTGGTGTTTCAGTTGGGACATTTTTCTGCAGTACATTTAGTTGGTCATTATTCCCTGTTCCATTCTCAGGCTCGGTGGATGACTCCAACATTGCTTGTTTAAAAAACCTGGACACAAATTTAAAAGCAATGCCAAATCTTGATCAGATTCATGCACTCATTAAGCACTATGGACCTACAGTTTACTTCCATCCAGACGAGGAATATTTGCCTTCATCAGTTTCGTGGTTCTTTGACAATGGTGCTCTTCTTTACGAAGATGGGAAGGATGAGGGTGTAGCCATTAAGTCCAATGGTTCAAACCTACCCTCTGGTGGCGACAATGATGGAAGATTTTGGCTTGATTTAGCACTCAAAGATGAAGCTAGAGATGCACTCATGCGTGGAAACATCGAGACTGCAGAGCTCTATGTTCATGTTAAACCAGCCCTTGGAGGGAGTTTCACTGATATAGCCATGTGGATCTTTTGCCCCTTTAATGGACCAGCAACCATCAAGGCAGGTGTGGTGAATATGACCATGAACAGAGTAGGCGAACATGTAGGCGACTGGGAGCATTACACTCTGCGGATAAGCAACTTCACTGGGGAGCTCTGGAATGTGTACTTTTCTGAACACAGTGGTGGCGAATGGCTACACGCCAGCGAGTTGGAATTCATTAAGGATAACAAGCCAGTTGTGTACTCGTCAAGAAATGGGCACGCTAGTTTCCCGCATGCCGGTTGCTACATTCAAGGTTCTTCAAAGCTTGGATTAGGAGTGAGGAATGATTGTGATCAAAGCAAATATTTTTTGGATTCCAGCACTAAGTACCAAATCGTCGCAGCCGAGTACCTGGGCGATGGAGTCATTACGGAGCCTGATTGGTTACAATACATGAGAGAATGGGGTCCGACAATTGAGTATGATTCTCGATCTGAAGTCGATAAGATCATCAAGCACCTTCCATTTTTTGTTAGATTCACAGTGGAAAGCCTTTTTGAACTCTTCCCAACTGAGCTTTATGGGGAAGAAGGCCCTACTGGACCAAAGGAGAAAGATAACTGGATTGGTGACGAGAGGTGTTAATGATCATTATGAGTATTAAGATTGTTGCGTACATAGGGCACCAAATTGTTGTAACTTTCGAAAATCTATTTATTCAATTCTATATAAAATCTACTTAAGCAAAAGAACCACTTTGTCCCAATTAAAGAGTTTTGTTTCAACAAACTGATTTTTTTTTTTAAAACATTGGGAGTATAAACAAATCTTCGCAATGAAACAGCTGCTTAAAAGATTTTACTTATTAATCATAAAATAGATATGAGCTCAGAAATCAATTACCAAAGTTCAAGTAACACTGGCAGACTAGAGCCAAAACAAGGAACTTTTACAGTCCCGGGGCCAGCCACTGTAATAAATTGTGCCAAACTAACAAAAGAGCTCTACTTATGAATTATGATATGAACAAAAAACGGGGTCCTGAACAACGGACATCCACAGTAAGAACTCACTTATTTGCTGTCCTGTTTAGGGTCTCCCAACTAATTTCCTGAGCACATTCTCCACAAACAGTGCAGCAACCCATCTTTGTTCCCTGACTTCTAAGGGTGAGCAAATGCGAAAGATTCGTACACTTTCGTATGGTTATACGATCTTTGGCTCTCTCGGGGACATATACAAACTTTTTCTCAGGAGCAGATGGGAGAGAGTTGGAGGCGACAGAAGGCTTTTTTAAATCAACCGCATTTTCCCCACCCCGTAATTTCTGCTGTTCAGTAGGAGAAGTTTTTCTTTTTACTCCAGGTTTGACATCCATCAACTGGTGTTGCTCAAATGTGGATTCGTCAGGGGAAATTCTTGACACCTCTTCCCACTCACACTCAACTGGAAATGTTTTCCTATATACTTCCCAAGCCTGTTCCTGCTCTTCTTTTGACAGCTTTTCCTCTTCATTCTCTTGCAAGAGCGTTTCATGTTCATGATAATTTGCTATCCACCTGCATGAAGAAAATGTTTAATTCGCATATTAAATCTATCAATATTCTACTATGTATGAACATGTCACTTCCATGTCATCAGATGCAGGTTACTTTGTATTTGAGTATCCTTCAAACTTCCAAAATAATGATCTCTGGAATATATATTACTCCCTTCGTCCCATAATTATTGTCCAGTTTTACTAAAATGAAAGATTTTATTTTTGGTCAAACTTAACTATATTTTACCTTAAACAACCGGATATACCCCTACATAAGTAATTGTTTAACCACTAAGATTTTATGGATAATGTTTTTTACTAAGGACAAATGTGTAACTTGATCCATAAAAAGTCAAATTGGACAATAATTTTGGGACAATTTTTTGGGCAAAGTGGACAATAATTATGGGACGGAGGGAGTATATTCTAATCCAGTAATGATCTTTACATAAAAAGATGTCGCGGCCCATGATAAAGGTGCCATCAAGTTAGAAAGCAAGAACTCCTCAGTCATCATGAATATGTGGAAAATGATCTCTCATTCAATTCAACACACAAAATATGTGTATCCATTACCATGAAAAAGTACCCTATTCTGAAATTCTTAGCATGGGAAGAAAGGTAATAGATAACACAAGAATCACCACCCCAGTTCAGATATGCGGGACATAGATCCACGGGTTGAACCAGCAAGTGAAAGCATACCTTAATTGATGCCTGGTGATTAAGCTCTGCATCACTTTGTCTGAAGACATGCTTCCAGGAGAAGGAACTTTCTGTTTTGTAAAACCTCCAATACTGCTGCTTACACTGAAATCGGATGCACTTGAATTCTCTTGTACTAAACCAAGCAGTGGATCAGCATTTTCATCATCACCAAAGTCAAATAGATGCAGCATTTCCTCTTTGGATATAGTCCGATATACTTGCTGCCTATCAACCACTCTTGCTGCAAGTCCTTCTTTAGTCACCTGTTAGATTTTCTAGTTTATTCAGCCCTTGAAGAAAGAAAAGAGAAGATCCAACAGCAACTAGATCAAATATTACCTGACGCTTGTAGATTTTCTCCTCCATTGTTCCATGACCTAGCAAGCGATAAGCAAAGACAGGTTTTGTCTGCCCATATCTACAAGTACGTAACATGTTACATGATAGTAGGATATAGCATAAAATTTTGTTTCATAAACACAACCCAGTACACACCTCCAAGCCCGAAATATAGCCTGAAGATCATATGTTGGATTCCAGGAACCATCCACTATGATTACGCGATTAGCGGAATGAAGATTGATACCCAAGGATCCAGCTCTAGTTGATATCAAGGTGCATTTCACCCTTCTATTGGAGGGGTCGTTGAATTTTTCCACCAGTTTTTGCCTTTCAGAACCCAATGTTTTTCCATCCAATCTGTCAGCACCAAAAAAGGCATATAGAAAAAGAAGAGAGTTTTAGTTAGAAAAAAGAAGTTTACTGAAAGCAACTGTATAATGGAAGGCAAAGATGGAACACTGTCAAAATAACATGAATGAATAAGCAAGATCCTAGTGATTGGACCAAAGTTTCCAACAATGAGGGTTTGTCAAATGACTGTTCACTGTAATTTGCTTAAAGCGATAGATAAATACCTATACCAATCTTTTCCACGTTTCCAACATTTTCCAGATTTCCCTGGGCGAGATAATTTTGAGAGATAAATCTCAATTAAGTCCAGGGTTGATAAGCTCTGACTAAAGACTAATGCCTTATCTCCCATATCAGAGCACATTTTCAGAATATCCATTAGAAGAACCATTTTGCCACTGTAATCAACCTCTTCATAGGTATTGTTCTGAAGTAGATCGCTCCACCAATCCTAGTAGCAAAATGAAGCCCAAAAAAGTTTGAGCTAACAGGGAAAACAGTAAAACCAAAATTCACAAGGGGTGGAAAATACCTCATGAAGAAAGCCATTATCGTTCTTTCTGTCCCCAAAAATAGAGCTGTTTCCCAGCTTTTCTGAAACCAATAGAACAATTTCATAAAATTCCTTAGTTGAAATGGAAAAAATCGAAATTACTATGTAAATGGAGAGTTTATACAACGAAAAGGTTGAGATTAAATCAAATCCACATAAATGGATAAAATGGATGCAAACTTTCGAAAATGTTATGCTATGTTTGCCAATGATAGTTCACAAACAACCATTAAAAAAAAAAAAAAAGAGTTCTAGCATTGTCCACTTTAAATTCATAAGACAAGTGAAAAAATCTGTGTCCCAAGGGCAAAAAGGAGATCAATAGGTAATGCAGAACCCAAGACAAAAGCGACGAGAAATGCATAGCAAGCGCCAATGTGAACAAATTCAGCAAAAGTACCTCCTGGAATAACATTGTCATCTATGTTCTCATCACTTGAGCTGTCTTCACCAGTTAAATGCTCCACATCATCTTCACATCTAACAGACTCTTTGCCTTCTTTCATTAATTGTAAAATTCCAGGATGGTTCCATATCTGTAATTATAAATAGGAACCATTTTACAACTACTTAAAACTGTCCAATTATTTTAGATTTGCTGCAGTATGCAACAGAATACAAAACCAACATACTTCCAATTTCTTCTACTGATTAATCCACTGTGCAACAAAAATCTGACACCGGTAATTCAAGAAACGAAAGCATTCACAAACGAATCATATGTCAAAATTAAAAACAAAAACAACGAGATCATCAGCCAAGAATTTAATCATGAGGAAAAAAGTAACATATAAAAATACAAAAACAAATACGAGTTATAAGATAAAAACTCTTCTGATGTGCCCTTTGGCCTTTAATGTGTGTCCAATCAAAGATACTTCCCACAAATTTTGAGATAAATTATCTTTAAGAATTACTTTGAGATAAATTACCAAAATTTCACCCAATATATATGTATATGTATATGTGTGTGTGCGTGTGTGTGTGCGCGTAAATATAATTTATCTTGGTAATTTATCTTTAAAAGAACTACTTTTTGTCCAACCAAAGGCTCCAGCAGCTATTAGATATATCTTCCTCATTGGCAAAAAGCTAGCATCCGCAGATTCCAAACAAGAAAGACTTGACAGTCAGCCTTCAAGTTCTAAAACAATGGATACTTTCCCAAAACCACGGGTACCTTTGAAGCATGTTTGTTTTCACTTTAGGTCCCTTTACATCTGAATATTCCTATAAACCCACTAACATCTGATTCACTGTTAGATTATCTCTGCCTACCTATATAGTTTTATCTGTAAGGCCAAAAAAGAAAAATCATATTTATAACAGTTTATCTTCAGCAGCTTTTAGCCTTTCACTAATATCATTATGGGTAATTCAAAATTCAAAGAAGCATGCACGTGGAAGAATATGTATCAAAAAGCTCATTTTACAAGTACCACAAGCTTCCACAACCAAAAACCATAGTTATTATCTATTCACGCAAGTTGGTAACTTTCCATGACAAGAGCCGAGTAAAGAAGAAGTTAACCTGAGCCAAGGCTTGATAACCAGCGAAAAAGCATCTTCTCTTCACCTTTTCATTAAAAGCCTTGTCCTTTGTGAAACCATGAACATCAAGAAATCTTTTATACAACTTTCTCTGCAAAGGTGAAAGCTTCACAGCTACGACAAAAACAGTCTTGGGGGGTAAATCATCTTTAACAACAGTCATGTCCATTCTCTGAACAAAGCCCTTCAGTTGTTCATAGAGAATATGAGATCTGTGGTTCATAATCTTCACATCACTTGCAGTTGAATTGGTAAGTTGACCATTCTCTATGGGATTCTGAAAACTGCATTAATTAATGATAGTGAGAACAAAAACAGTAATAAAAGATCAAAAAAAACACAGTTACACCAAATCACTAGAAGTCTTACCGATTTCTAAATTCATGGCGGCTACCCAGAAATCCTTCTCGTACAAAATCAACCATCTGTCAGATAAAATCTCACATTATCACAAATGCTGATAGGGTAACATACAAAAATATCATGAATAATATAAATGTGATATGCCCTTACACAGTAGTATTCCATTAGATTGTTCTGAAGAGGTGATCCAGTCAATGCAATCCTTCTTTGGCATTTGACTTGTTTCAAGGCCTGAGTTACGTCAGCCCTAGTATTCTTGATTATGTGGGCCTCATCACAAACAAGTATATCTGGTCCATCCTGGCATGAATACATATCGTTTCAGGTTAACGCAACAAGATCATGCATTGCACACATTTGAAATAAAAAGATAAATGGGACATAACTCCACCCCACACAACAAAAATTAAGAAATCCTCATTCAAAAGAAATCAAAATGCACACCATCAAAGTGCTTTTACATCATTACAACAGACTTGAATTGTACCGGGTAACGAATTATCAGGATGACAATGTAGTTCTAATACCAATATTACTAATGATGGCTAGAACCATCCCTTGGAATTTAGGGTGATTCACCATGAAGTTAAAGCTACATATACAACTTATAAGGTGATAGATGCATATTTCCAACTGTATAAAACTAGAGCTAAATGAACCCAGCCCTTTCCAGCACTGAGTAATGACTTGAGGATGCCCCTACTAATTCGTGTATTGTACTTTGACATCATATTTGTCCAAACAAATTCCAACATGTCTACAATACTAGGTCTACCGAAAAGAAGGAAAGCCAAGTATAATAGTAAAAATCGAATTATGACTACAGGGATTATTAAATATGAAACTGCGGATGTATAGAGATGTCTACACAAATTTGAAAGACACAAAATAGGAAAATAGCAACTTTCACCAGAACTCCCCAAATACATCTATTTTGCAATCCCATTTCCCTCTTGTGGATGCAAAATAGAAACCAATCTCAATTTGTCTATGAAAAAGTCCCATTAACTGAAGGTAGTACCTGAAGAGTAGTACAAATTTGCCTTGCTGCTTCACGATCTTTAACACTCTTCCCAAGCGACAAACTTCTAAAAGCAGCGTAACTAATCAAGAAAACACCACCTTTTGATCTCCATTTCAAAAGCCACTCCGCTCTTCTTTCCCTACAAATTTTATAGTACAAAGATTTCATCAATCATATCCAATATGGATATATTCAAATGAAAAGGAAATTAATTTCCATCTTATACACAAGCATAAGGACAAAGAAGTCAATCTTCTCAACAAACCTAGGAACATCGTCCAGCATGAAGACACGAAGAGGCTTCACTTCTAATGGTTTCCATTTGTTAAACTCATTGCGCCAATTGTGCTGGACACTTACAGGAGTCACAATGAGCACAGTTCGCAACCCCAAATCAGCATTTTGCATTACAGCGTACAGGAAAGCAATAACCTGCGCAACAAATTGCATTACAACTATACACTAAACAGAGATGCAGGCCAACAGCACAACAAGGACAAGGTCACTCTCCTGGGTATTGATTACATTACAGTCAAACTGCTACCTTGCCACAATTTTTTTACCTCCCAAAAACTAGACCACCAAAAAGACAAAGATAAGCTAATAGTATATATCACATCAATCACTTAACGAAACTCCCATCTCTAATAAAAAGTAAATTTTATTGTTCAAAAGTCACGCTTTAGAATAGTTCACTAAAATGCCATTGCAATCATTTTCCTGTCATTCCATTGCAATCATTTTCCTGTCATTCTAGCAATAGTTAGCAACAAGTGTTGACTTAGTCATTTTACTGCAGTGACAAGTAGTACTAATGAACGGGAGAGGTATAAAAACGAAACGTGATGGCTCACATATCAAAAAGAAAAGTGACGAGTTTTGCAACATTTTTCCGTATTCACAAGAATTATAAGGTATAATACAGGAATTACTTAAAACAACCCACCAAGTAAATAGTATTCCTCCATTGCTAGTTATCTTTTAATTAATTCACTGTTTGCGACTGCCAGCCCAGAATATCGACAAGTAAATCTTAACACACAAGCAGCAAACCCAAAGAAAGAAAAAGGCAATCCACGATAACCTTGAACAAGTTTCATACCTGGAGTGTTTTACCCAAACCCATTGTATGAGCTAATATACAACCAAGGCCCTTATCTCCAGACTTAACTCGTTTCACAGATTCTATGACATTCTGCCACATGAAACGAACCCCGGCAATCTGCAGAAAGTACACCAAAAACTCAGATCATGTTGATATTTAAGAAAAGAATAAAGTACCAGGGTAAATTCCCAACCAAACAGTAGTGACAATCCCACAAAGACTATGAAATTTTATTTTATTTAAAAAAAAATTTAGCATTCTTTACTACATTTAGTATTCTTGAATATCAACCATGAAACATAATTGCCCAGACGGAAAAGAAACGGAAAAGAAATGTAGTATTCAATACGAAACGGAAAAGAAACGACCCTGAAACATAATTGCCAAGACAACCATGAAGAGAGGCCAGGAAAAAGGATAAACATGTAGTATTCTTTACTGCTCGGTCATAATAATTATAAAAGAAAAAAAAAAGAGCCTACCCTTTCAGTTAAGGATATTGTGTTGTCCTCTACCTTCCCAGTGAAAAATAATACCATTAGGGGATACAAATGACAGATAATGTGAAGCAAAATTAACGCCATTAACCTGGTGAGACTTCAGTTTATCAGAGATGCTGGGCGGGATTCTGACAGGATCTTCACCTTCATCTCTGACAACATTAACTATGTAGCCCGTTACAGTATCACCTAGCATGTCATTACTGCCACCATCTAACAAGTGCCAAGTACAGCTTGCAGAACTTGCCATGGAAGACTTCTTTGCAAATTGAGCCTCCAGTGACTTGAGACGTTCTTGGCGTTCCTGCACATTCCAAGAATATATGCTTCGTAATTCCGAAAAGTTACAGGAAAACAAATATATCATCTTTATGTGGGATTCACCTTTTCAATCGCAATTTTCCTTTTAGTCTCTTCCCCTAATTCAGTGTCATCAAGTATTCTCCGAATCTTCTTTTTACGTCTTCTCCTGGTACTAGAAAACATAATCACAACAATTGATACATAAGAAAAATAAATATATTCCAACTGAGAAGACAAACCCTGTAGCTGAAAAACGGTCCGAATCACACAAACAATATAAAAATACGTAGATCCTATCTACCTCTTCCCCTAGACAACATATCCTCAAAAAACCTACGCTTTTAACATTCTTCAGATGAAAAGCCTCAGAAAAATGGTTCTCATTTCACTGATACAGTTATTGAATTTTACATCAGAAAGCATCAGTTTTCATCATATATATGCCTATGGACACGGAAGCAAAGAAAAAAAAGTCATGTTAGCAATTAAAAGAATAAAAAATCAAACCAACCTGACATCTATAACAGCATTTGAATCGGAATCATCTGAATCGGTGTCTGAACTGGAATAAATCAGAACACCAGATTCAGTTACTTTTTCAGCTTCTGAAATCAAATCTCGCAGCACACTTGGAGAGCAACAGCAACACTGCCAGCCAAATTTCTGGATTTGCGACAAGAAGTTTTCTCCAAGGTTCCTCTTTATGCAACTAGTACAGAAAAAGGTTCGACACGATTTACAGCTTCTCAAGTTACTGTTCTGGCCGCACCATCCACAGTAGCACTCGGAGCAGTCGATGTCCTGTAGAAAACAACAGCCAATTTATAGGCACATTAACATCGTATGGAGGATATGCTTTATTCCAAATTCACAAAGGACAATTACTGACAGCTATGTAATAACGGCACTTATTTATTAGGTAAGGAAAGTTGTTGAATGGTCAACTCTGCTCGAGGGAAGTCATTTAATTCAGCTTACCATAAGAAAATATGGATCATAAGTTAATTCACATGATTCTACCGTATCACCGAAACAATGGTATTAAGCTTACTAAACAATTAAAATTGAATGGCGAACAAATAATCTCCTACCACGATTACATTAATCTGATTTGTTTGAAACTGCACTTGTAGCTTAAAACGGAGGCCAAATAAAATTCAGCCTGATTTCATTTGTGAGAACTCCTCAAAGGCATTATATACTAGAGTAGTAATTCAAGAAAATTAGAATGGAGACTATGTCCTAAAATGGTACGTGTACCTCAATGACAGCTGCAACTTGTCAATGAATAAAAGAAGAGAAGAAAAGTACTGAAGCAAAGCAAATGTCATAAAACCACAAAAATAGCAAACAAAGAAGACAAGATTATAACCTCAGATCAACTTCTCAGAGTGCGTGGTTTGTCTAGGGTTTTTAACAACCCCCCGGCGTGAAAAAAAAAATCAAATAATAATGGGTAAAACAACCAAATTAGTGTAAGTTTTTCAATTTGATTTAAACTGTACTTGACCACTGGCAGGTTTCTGTCATTTGAAATACTTGAGCAAAAATCAAATAAAAAGTCAACAATGGAATGGAAAAAAAAATTGGGAATGCTATCACAACAGATCCTTACCTTCACCGCCATCTTTGATTCCAAAACTTTTTTGCAATCCAGGCATATAATTACTTTCATAAGAGGATGCAAGCAGGGTTGCCTAGATAATTTATCACATGCAGTACAGTGGAATTCTTTTGTCTCAATCTTCTGGAGGGGAACCTCGGAAGACAAGATATTTTCTTCAGTTTCCACATCCATCATCGCACTTCCATTAAGTCTCAAAGGAGATCTGGTAATGAGATTCTCACAATCAAGTTGATTACGATCATCAGAAAATTTTTTGTCCCCAGAGTCAATAAAACTCGGAGAAGCTGATTGAGCAACCAACAATGTATCCCCGCCACCGCAATCCAGGTTTTCTGGATTTGCAATACAGTCCAAACTTAGCACTTCAGAGTAATTTTCAGTCTGAAGAGTTTCCTGGTCAACATAAGATGTCAATGGTTAGCCACATCTAGGTCATCACAATAAACGATTTTAGGGTAAACCAGAAAGTACCACTAAGTCACAACACATACAATTAAAGATTGAAAAAATGTAGTTTGTATCCTTGCCAAGCAGACAAGCTGCAACGATACAGAAATTACAAAGAACGGTACACTTCACAAGGGAAAAAAAAAAAAAAAAACAAAAGAACACTGCACTTAACCGAAAAGTTACTTTTATACCACGATCAGCACTGCACAAATCTAAACCATGTCGGTACAAGAAGTTGGATAAGAAGAAGAATAATACACAAGTGTATAATAGCTCCATGAAACAAAATAATAAACAGGATTCATTTGTCTATACTGTAGGTGAGACGTATCTTAAAAAGCTATTCAAAGTGGCAATGCGCTGGCTCCAGAACCTAAAGCTGCCACTGACAGGGGTGGAGTCAGTGGACCAAATAGTTACATTACCAAATTTCAAAAAACCATCATAGCTGTGTGTATGTTCATTTATCTTAAACAAAATTTGAGAACTCTAGGATCTCTGAAAACTGTTTTTCAACATGATAATAATCTTTTTTTACTTTGACATAGACTAATCAAGAATTAGTTAATACTTCTGACTACATCCTCCTTCATTTTGGAATGTTTTGGTTCACAAATCCGTGGTTACTTGATTAAATGGGAAAACTTATACTCCATCAGAAAATAAGCAAATTCTATCTTTCAGCTAGTTGAATCAAGAATAAAACAACTGGCAAGAACTATGACCTCCCTATTTTGTTGCTAATTTTCCAAAAGAAGTAATGACCTTACCCCTAAATTACTTTTTTACCCCAATTATTATTGCACCGCAAGGTGTAAAGCGGTTACTAGCTGTACCAGATTGAGGGACAGCACAAAATAATCCTATCAGTTGAACTAGTGGCAGGAACACTATACTCTATTCCAAACACTAGACTTATTAGAATTTTACCTTTATTTTCTGAAAATTATTAAAAAGGACATGACAACTGGAAACTTCACTAGTTGATTAGAATTTAGCACTTGCCATTGTTGTTGCACGTGTCTCAACCCAATACCTGGGTCTTGGCAATGCTCCAACTTTACCATCCTCCTTCCAGCTCTATAAGAATTTCAATTCCACAATGTCACAACTTTTAATTCATCTTGACCAATTCTGGAGGGCCATGGAGATTTAATTGATCCAATCTCAAATAAAGCAATATAGATTCAGAGACATCATTAAATAATAAGGTTCTTCCATATATATTCATAAATTCCCCTATGAATCATAAGACAAGCAAATCCAGAAGATAAGCAAAGAAGACATAATGAAGACTTCACCTTTTGGCTTTTCTTTATCTGCCTCCTTCGCTTTAATTTATTTTGAAGCTTCCTAATTATGTTTGTATCATCTTCCTCCTTCACCTGATAATTCATCCAATAAAGGAAAATAATACATTAACTTTGCTGATAATCTCATACATAATATTCTTTTGGCTAATTACCATAACGTATAAGACACAGTGAGGACAAGCGACAACTAAAGCCAAAAGTATGAAGAGCATATAGCAAGGGAAAGAAGAACACAGCAGAAATTACAAATGCAGTGCATTTTATAACTAATTCTCAAAACAAGGATCTCGGCATTGTTATCTTCTATGGCAAGATGTAGTTAAGTAATAGCAATCCATAATAGATAACAGCTAGTTCAATAAGATAAAATTCAAAGACTGTTTGCATAGTCGGAGAACATATAGCTAATAAGTATGCATAGCATCACGAGATAAAATTAAAAAGCTCTGTCAAAATAATCCGCGCATCAGTGATTATTTTTTTTAACTCTATCCAAAGTAGAACATATAAACCTTTAACTTCATCTTCTGAACATATGCTCCTTCGCCACTAGTTTCAAACTAAAGGTACAGAGAACGTGCTGTTTAAAAGAGGCAAAAATCCTTACTGAACCCCTAAAGATGACAACCCACGGATATAATACATTCAAAGAGGAGGCAACGACAGAATAGAGCAACTATAATGGAAAATAAATATCGATTCCAAAATTAATAATATTTAGAAATTCTAATATGCTTAGAGCACAAAAATCCTAATATGCTTCCTTGATAACCTCATTCCGTACAACCAACATAGCTTCATACTTATCTGAAGAAATTCTAACAACTAAGGTTAGTCATGAATCCTTTATGCCAATGTCTGTGACTAAAATTAATGTATGGCAACAAAAGTTTCTATAGGAGTAAACACGAATGCTTCAGTTATGCATACAGTAACCTGACACAATATCTCAAAACTCATAATAATCTGTATCTAGTGCTAGCAAGATTTTACAGCTACAGTGAGAAATTAGTCACTTGACGCCGGCAGCAGAGTACAGGAAATGCAGCAGCAAACTTTCTATGCAGACATCAGTTAAAAACATCTGGGGGTAAAGATGAGTCCCAATTGAATGGAAAACTTAATGGATGGAGAGTAACAAAATAGCCACATGGCCAAGACAATACTTTAGTCACAAAGATAACAAAGAAACTTTTAATGCATAATTAAAATAAGATCAGAGGAGGGAGAAAACTATGTCGTGATAATGGTTATAGAAAAGGAGAATGAGGTCGAAAATACCCAAGACAAACCTTCCTAAATTTTCTTTTTTGTTCTTCTGTGAGGCTTGAATCTCCTTCAATGGCTATTGCATCTGGAACAGAGCTGCTCTCAATGTCACCAATCTCCTCAACCTGCATAGGTAAAGATCTAAGCAACCAACCACTGATGGGTAACATGAAGGATTATTCCTCTTCCAGTTCAAAGATGAGAACAGGGAGATATAAAAAGCCCAATATTTATCTGCCTCCCACACCAAAAATGCACTAAGTTTACTACTCAGTCTACTCGAACCCTTCTCAAAAGAGATGTAACTAGATCTAGTAATTACTGTCTGTGTGTGCTCACAGAGTATGGTAGAAGTCACATTTGGTTCACAAAAATCTGTAGAAAAGGCTATAATAGTCTCTCCATCACAAAAACTTAATTCCACTTCAAAGTCCCCAAAAGTTTTCATTAGCACTGAGGAAAAGTTGTTTCTAGGCTTAGAAGCAAGAATAGAACAAACCAACAACGATGCACCCCGGTTCAGTAATCTCAAAATGTAACATGATCACCTCGTCAACTCCAGGGAATTTAATGCCCAACTCAGCAGCTTGCTGCGGGGTCTCGGCCAAGTAAACAGAAGCCCACTCCTTGCTCCCAAATGATTTTCCCTCCAAAGAAGATTTATCAGAGCAAAGTTGGTTGAAGGAATACCAGTCAACATGTAAATTATCAGTAGCAGCTACATGACCAGCATTTACAGCAAGTTTTCTTTCCAGAAAACCACTGGCACCCTCCTCCAATACTTTTCCATGGTGTCTGAAACATTAGAAGCTATATGTATCAAAATGGTACAAAGTTCAGCGACTCATAATATATGAAACCTGGCAATAATAGAAAACAACATACTTTCTGACAGGTCTGTGGGTCTGAAGATACTTATCAGCCTCAGCAATCCAATTGGTACCTTCGGTGTTGAGTTGAGATCCAACCCAATGGGTTCTCATTTTCCACGCTTCCGTGGAGCAACCAAGAGGAACCTGACTTTCGATCCATTTATACAATTTTGAGAGTTCGATACCGGCACCATCAAGTTGTTCCTGTGGTATAAAACAAGAGATCAAGGAATCAAAGGAAGTGAATAAGTACAAAATATGGAGAAAAAAGGAAATCAGACGTAAGGTTTAATAGTTCATTTTATCGACATCAAAGACTAGGAAGCATGTCTTGTACTCTTTTTAAATCACTGAATATACACATTACATTAAGTTATATTATCCAATGAATAAGTCTGATGCACACATTGAATAACAGATAGTTTCTACAGCACAAACTAGAGTACCGAAATTTGTGTCTATGGGATGTTCAAGCACGATTGTGACAGACAAAAGTAACTCCTTGCTCCTGTTTTCTTCTTCGCATAAAACAGTACGAACCAAAGAGTTCACTCATGGACTTAATAGTTTAAAGAAAAGGGTCTGTGCCTTCCATGTCATACTAGACATCCCAAAAGAATTGCCACCCCACTGTAGACTTAATGCAAGATTGTATGCAACATCAGTCACATCCTGCAAACCCAATCATTTCCTAATCTGTCCCTTTCGAATTACAAAATGCCTACTACGAATAGAAACAATGACATGTGCCAAATAACAAATGGGCCGAAAGTGAAGATGCATGTCCCGATACTTAATAAAACCTTAGTCAAGAAAAAACGAATAATATACCAGTAGATAAGAACTTTCTGTCTCAAGCTCGTCGAGGACATTTTCCCAATCTTCCTTCAAAGTCTGCATTTCCTCAGCTACAGCTTTCTCCAACTATAAGAGGAAAAAAAAAATAGAGTCAAGAAAAATCAATGTAGTAATTCATTGTCAAACACAAAACGATCCATATCAAAAAAGAAACAACAACAATAATAATAAATCAACACTTCACATCATCTCCATCAAGAGTTTGCTGCAATTCTTCTCTAACTTCAGCCTCCACTTTCGCCAAAGACTCCTGCTCCAATGCCTCTTGGGCTTCAGCAGCCTAGAATGAATTCCCCAAAAACTTTATTCATCAACATAACAAATAAACCTAATACAACAAAAAAAAAATGTAAAACTAATAGCAAGTTTAAATACCTTACTCTCCACTTCAATGAGCTCATTGATTAGCTCTTCCGTTTCTTGCTCCGTCAAAGGTTCCTGCGCTTTAAAAAAAGAAAAAAGCAGTTTAACAAAACTAGAATTCGGAAAAAACGGAGAGTAGTATCACAGTTGTTCCACAAAACGACCGGAAATTCCACCGAAGTAAGCAACGAGTTGAAACTACATTGACTTGCCTCGGGTTGGGAAACTTCGCCGTCTGTGTCGTCGGATTCATCGATAAACGAATCGGAAGAACCCTCATCATTCTCAATATCTCCCATCTCATCGTCGTCGTGATTATTCTCTTTCTCGTCATCTTGATTGTCCTTGTCAGTGTCCTTCTGGTCATCCATCGTCGGATAATCAAATTCTCTCAAACCTAGTTCGATTACGTGACAGAGAGAATATGCGCGACAGGAAGAGGAGGAAATCACCAAAGAATTTGAAGTTTTTGAACTGCCGCAAAATAGAAATAAAAGCAAAGGATTTTTTGTCCTTTTTGGGTTTTGGTGAGAAAAAAAAAAAAAAAGAAAATAAAGAGTTTTGGGAGGGAGAAGGGGGCGAGATTTGGGGAATTTACTGAGCATCCGACGTCGTCTCCTGGGACTTTTTTTTCTTTTTATTTTTAATATTTGAATTCTTCTGATGTATGTTGAGCACAGTGATGGCGGGAAAAAAGTGTGAAACTTTACCTTTTTTTCTTCCTATCATACAGGATCCATTACCGTGACTATAATCTTAGCCCATTTTAATTACCCTACCGATCAAGAGGCTCGTGGTTAACAATGATGAACTCACGCTCCTTTTTTCTTTTTACCATCAAAGTTTTCTAAATAATGTGATGTGATATTTGATAGGCCACTGGTTATTAATAACCATGACGATTATTACATTGATATAGTGCTTGAATGGAATTATATTAAAGTTGACATCAAGATGATTAGGGACGAAACCACGTTGGGGCTCGGGGGGTCTCGAGCCCCCCACCGGCTGGAGAAGGCTAAGTTTGCCTTTTGGCCGTAACCCCCCGGAGGTTTCTTTCTTTGTCTCAGCCCCCTCTCCCTCCCTCTCCCCTCCCGAACGTGAGTGTGTGGGAGCTTTACAAAGAGGTGAAGACAACACTCTTTGAGGTTGGGTGTTCTATTTTAAGATTTTGAGGTTTTAAATTTTGAGATTTGAAGTCACCTGCGGGGAAGAGAGTTGCATCGAAGGAATGGGGGTGATGACTTGATTTTTTTTTTTAACAACTTATAAATTTATTGATCCTAAACTTTTTAAATATTATGAAGATTACCCCGTACCACTTAAAATTGCTTCTCTTTCCCTTTGTGTTAAAAATGATGGCCCTTAATTATTCAAAAATATAAAATTTAACTCAATAAATTTAATAATACAACCAATATTATTGAAAAGTCCCTAAAAATCGAACGGACAATGAGCCCCCCAAATATCATAAGCTGATTCCGCCACTGAAGATGATGGAATATTGAAGCAAAAGAATAATTGGTTTGGTGTCAAGCAAAAATAAAGCCGACAATGAGGCCGGTAGGACACCGTCGACTTATAGGCCGAGAAGAGGAAGTCGACAAACGAAGTGTAAGATTATTTTCGAATTTTACTAAATTGGAAGTTTCAAGTTTTCGAGTTTTAGTCTTTTACTTTAGGCTCAATCAAATTTTAATAGCCCCATCTCCTAATTTAGGAGTTTGAAGAATCTCTATCTCTTAGAGATAAGACTATTTAAATCTTATCACACTCATGGAGTGATAAGATTTGATATAATTCGTTTTTATCTACTTTTTACTTTGTTCACTATAAGAAATCTAATCCGTGATGTCTACTCTTAACCGTAGGATGAAGGCTATATTAAGATTGCATGGTTATAATTACTTTACAAATAAGATATTGATAGAGTTGACAATTCAGAAAGATTCTTTTTAGGGAAAATCCACTTTATGTACCCTATGAATAAAGAGTTTTCAAATTATGTACCCTAAGAATTGGACTCCCCAAATTATGTACCTTATGTTTGAAATTTGTTGTTTTAAGTACTTTTTCAAGGACAAAATGGGAAACTAACAAATTTTTTTCCTAACCTACTTCGTTGTTGCCCCCAAACTTCTGGAAGAGATCAAATTGCACCATTAATTTAATTGATTTTTTTACAAAAATTTATCTTTCTATAAGATTTCAGAAAATTGCACCTAGATTTTTGGTAAAAAATTTCCTACGACTTCCGGTGCTTATTATATTTGACGCACATATTTTTTTTTTATTATAAAGCGTTTTTCTTTATTAGTAGTTTTATTTATACTTTTATTCGTCGTTTTGTATGATTATTTTAAAAATATTCTTTTAGTTCTTCCTTTTCTTTTGATACTTTTTTGTTCAAGTTTTTCCGCACTTTAATGCATTTCTAGTAACACATAATTTTTTTAGATTTTGTCTAAAATATAAATATGACTTATAATAAGAAAAAAATACTAAAATAAAAAATATGTACATTAAAAAGAATACGAGTTTATTTTTATTATTTTAGCTACGTTTTCCTTATATTTTAGGCAAATAAAAATAAAATCTAAAAAAATAAGTATAATTTCTAGAAATGCATAAAAGTACCAAGACCTTGAACATAAAGTACAAAAAAGGACTATAAATATTTTTTTTAAAATAATCATGCAAAAAAAATATAAATAAAACTAATAATAAAGAAAAACTCGTTAGAATAAAAGCAATATGTATGTCAAAACAAATATACACTGGAAGTCATGAGAAATTTTTGACTAAAAATCTAGGTTCAATTTGCTGAAATTTGACTGAAAGATAGATTTGTGTAAAATCCATAAAATTTATGGTGTAATTTGCTCTTTTCCAGAAGTTTAGGGGCAAAAACGAAATAGATTAGGACAAAAATTTGTTAGTTTCCTATTTTGCCCTTGAAAAAGTACTGAAAACAACAAAATTCAAACATAAGGTACATAATTTGGAGACCCCCTATTCTTAGGGTACGTGGTTTTTTCCTTTCTTTTTAAGATAAAGAAAAGATTCATTTAGAAGATTTCTCTTTGTATTATGAGTTTATTTTCATTAGACTAATATATCTTAAATCTTTAAACGTACGTACATTGCCTTAATAGATAAGCCACGAGTTGTCAATTAGAGGTCAATTTATTTTTTAATTTATCGAAGTAAGAACATAGTTAGAGATCAATTCCTAATTCTTAAAAGAATTTTTCAGCCACTCTCTACTATAAACAGTGGTGTTTGTCTCGCTTTCGTTCCTAAAACACTTCTTTCATTTTCTTGTCTTCCATATTGAATATTTTTCATTCGATTTATCCTTGAATTAAAATATCATATGAATCGTGGATTGTCTTGGTGAATCATAGGCGGAACATGAATAAATCTTGATCTCATAAATTAATACAAGTTTTTGCAGTTTAGAATCGCACTCTGTTGAATCAAAAGATTCATATCATAATGTATTTACTATTAAATTTAACTTTGCGATTTTGTAATTCTGGTAATAAATGTGAAAGTCATTTTTTCGACAATATTCAAACGAAAAAAAAAAACCGTACCATAAAGCTGACATAACATGAATACGAGTCTACGGTTGTACTACACAACACATTTCAAACATGGAGGAAATAGTTCAATGTCACATCTGGTTTTTGATTGAACCATCCAATATCTTTCGTGACATAGAGACGTTTTACCTGCGATTAATTTTTTTTTTTTTTTTTTTATAAAAAAAGTTCCTGCGATTAAGTTTTTCGTGCAAAAATTGTTGAATCCAAAACCTTGAAAACAAGGTGAAAATTGTTTAGATACAAAAGAGCGGAACAACAATTGCGTAACGCATAAAAAAGTATTTGGTAACGGGAAGCCATACAGTGACTACTACAATGCAGAATGCAGATAGTATTGTTGTAAAAGTGAACAATTTATGTCCTTTTATGTAAGAAAATAGTACTCTTTCTGTCTCAAAACTATTGTTCAGTTTGAGATTTCACCTATATATTTTCTTATAGGAGAATAAACAATGTAAATTAATTGTACCAAATTAAAATTTGTACAAATCATAATCAATCAATCCAATTCCTTTTAGTAAAGTTTAGCATTCTCATTTTATACGAGCTGAATGCTCAAGCGTTGTGTGAATTACAATTGCATTCTTTTATCGTTTTAATTACGGTTTCGGTATTTCTTCCATGAACTTTTTAGAACAATATGTCTCAGCAGGGACTATTTTGTAACAAGTGGAAATTCAATAGCGTCAACTGGGATTTCCTCAGTAACCTTTTTTCTTTTCCTTCTCTCGTGGCTCTTTAGAGACAGCAGCCTTCTTTCCAGGATGCTTCTGCAAAATTGAGTTGAAGGAGCATCCTCGCTATACTTTTCCAGCTCCAAATCAATGTTGGATTCAATACAATCAGACCAAACAACAACCCTTCGTGTCGATGACGCCACAATGGTTCATCTTAAACACATTCCATACATCACTTCTTTCTCCTCCTAGGTACAGGAAGGAAGTTTGTCAATTAACGGGGAATGAGAAATACCTGGAGAAACATGTCCACACCGAATTGACTATTGTTTGACCAAAAACCATTTCATCTCTTCTTTTTTCTCTAAACAAATTTCACACTAAGCTAAATCTGTAGTTTCATAGAAAGCAATAAGAACAGCAGAGCACAAGACCAGGACCTTTCAAAGCCACTACAGCAAAAAGTCAAACAATATCATTGGAGGTCCTAAGCTCTAATGTAATTTGAACAGCGTGGAGCATGCATTCTTCAATCCTCAATGCAGAAAAGATAATATAGAGGAAAAAAAAAAGAAAGAAAAGAAATTGAGATGAAGAATAACCTAATAAGAAGGGGAAAATGAACAAATGAGGCAGTACAAATCCATGTAATATACTGCAAACAACATGCGCATGTAAAACCTTTTGTTGATAAACAAACCATGTGCTGGCATAGAAAAGCTAAGGCTTAAATAAACAATCCTGCATACGCAGATAGTTGCAACCAAATCCAAGAGACTGAAAAAAGAAAAATTAATAACTACAAACCACACATACCAATTTTGGACACTGAAATCATATCTTCAGAGAATCTGGGAACCATCAATCCAAAAAAAAAAAAAAAGACAATCATATACGAGAGAATAGAACCGTCACCTTGTTACTCAAAAGCCAGAGACCGTCATACAGGTGCTATCAGAAACTTTCTAAGACAAATAACGGGAGGGGCTAACTCTGAAAGAAAATCGATAACTGAGCTGTGCCAAGAGAATGAGAACCACACCCTTGACAAAGAAGGTCAAGCACCCGAAAGTCTCCTCCGCAGAACCTGAAACAACGCTGGACTTGCAATACGACACAGAGATTCAACAATTTCTGAAGGTTACACCAAGGGATGTACAAAATGCCGACCTAATAAAATGTGGCCGCGCTGTTTGCCACTAAATACAGCTTCACAATGGGAGATCCCAATGTTGGAAGTATAAGCTGAATGATTTTCATTTTCGGTTTCTCCTGTTTCCGTGGCTGCTTTATCAGCTCAGAAGGGATGGTTCCCGCAGGTGATTTGTGTTGTTTCCAATCCACATTAATCTATATGTCATCTTCAAAATTCTGCAAGCAGCCTTTAACCCCATTGTTTGTAAATTCAATGAAGTTTATGAAAAAGATAAATTAACCTTCCAATACTCCACGAATTTCACGCATTAGTAACTTGGAGCTGTTGACAATCAGTTTACTTTCACAAACTAGATAACGATGTAAATCGTGTCTTGGTGCCGGAATGAAGGATTCTAACTGCAAAAAAGGATCTGAGATGTTTGAGTTTAGGTAGGCCTCCCGAGCTGGATGGACATGTTTCCACCAAAAATCAGATAAAGCAATCTTTAGAAGATCCCAGTATTCTGTATCTCGGTACAACCGAAAGAGACTACTGCCATTCTCAGTCCATACATACATGTCCATCCAATCCCGGTCAAGTATTTCCATTAAACCTTGAGCCTGTGGGATATAGTAAAGAGGTATTCGTCTCCATGGGTAAGCATTCGCCATATTGCCATTAAAGAAAGGGCATTTGATCTCTAACACTCCTCTAGAAGGCAAACCGTATAAGTAACTGTCAACCAATCCATCTGGGGAAGCAGCAAGCCAATCATCTTCTGGTCTGACATTTTTGTAAACCTGAAAATCAGGGAAGGATACACAATTTCCGGTTATTATTTTATATCTTTCAAGAGCTTCCTCTTCCTTGATATTATCCCAACCAGTAGCCAAGTTACCAGAAAATGGTTCGATGGCCCCAATCTTCTCCAACCAGAGTTGGACTCTTCTTTGAGGCCAAAAACCAATAGCACTACTGAAAGTACTGGCTGTCAACTTATGCTTCCTTAAATGTTGCCAATTTTTGAAGCGGTGCTGGAGACAAGGAGCTTCAAGAAAAGAATATGATACACTAGAATCTCCCCGAGTATGGCTATAATATCTTCTACGTATTGAAAATCCGGAAGTAATAATGTAAATATTGCCGTTACTGCAACTGTGGCATAACAATTTGTGAAAACAGCAAGCAGCAGAATGCAAATCCTTCACGACTCTAGTCCATATAAGATGGACCATATGTAGCTGGTAGTCTGCAATGACGCACAAGATGTTCTTAGCAGAACTCGTAATACATCTCGTATACAGAAGTTGCTTCTAACCGCATAAAATCTAAATCATTCATTCTATATTTTCCATAGAAGTGAGAAATAAACATCCAAAACATTAAAACACCAGAACAAGTGAAAAGGGAAAACTGCAGATAGGCAAGATTTCTGGAATGCTTCTGAGTGTTCTATAACAAAGCTGCAACAGCATTCTTTTAGTTAATGAAGCATATGGACATAAAAGAAAGAAACAAAATTTTCTAAACCATGACATGTCTATCAGCCTACACCAATTGTGTGGTTGCCCAGTGCTGCAATTGAAGCACATAAAAGTGCATCAAATAACATTATAAGTACGAAAATGTAAGTGCTATTGGCAAAAAATTAGAAGAAAACTTTAGCTAAAGGCACACGCTCTTCAAACTTGGAAATAATTTTAGCCCACCCTGGTTGAATCTCTTTCACTTATTTTAGGCTTTAATTAGTAATGTGCACGTGTGCGGAATATTGTGAGGTGATCTATGTAATTTACAATCACAACAACTAACCCAGTGAGTTAATCTACTCTCAATAAAGAGATATGGTATATTATGGAATTATAAGAACAACGTTAGTCATGCTTTCCTTTCTTACACGTAAAAGCAGGAAAAACAGTACACGCCCGATAAAATCATAAATGCATAATTAGAAGAGTTCAAGGACTTGACAAATAACTGCGAGTACATGGTTTTCTAGAAAAAATTCTTGATGAAGAATGGTAACAGCAATAGACTGAACCCATCCAAAAGACAAAAAACTATCTCCAATCAATCCCCTCTTCACACTTAACATGTAGGAAGCATATCCGGTTGCCCCACCAATTATACAATGGTAAAAGGCATAGAAAACAATTTAAGAAAATTACACAAGGGGGGAAAGAAAAGGATCAAATAAGTATTCTTCTTTCCTCACAGTTTCTTCAAGGGGCAAAATAGTTAAGAGAAGAAGTAAAGGGGATTCATTACAGTAAAAGAGAAAAGCAGTCCAGGCTAACATTGAGGTAAAAAACAAAGATGTAAAATTTGATGAACTTAGAAGCTCCCCGCATTCGACTAATAGAGCTCCAGCTCAAGCTATATCAATATTAACTCCAACCCAGAAACCAAATTAACATCCAAAATTACTCTAGTCAAATCAATGTTTAAATAATTAACTTGATCGGTAGTTCGTTATTATTACTTTTTCACTTCCCAGAATAACCCACAAGAAAGATTATAATTTCAGGTCAGGGATAGTTCGAACACAAACGCATTCACTTCCGCCCATTTCATAATCAAGAAAATGAGGAGTAATTTCTCATAACAAAAACCAGAAATTATATGATGTAGAAAACAAAGAACCCCGGCCAGATTATCAAGGGAAGAAAACTATAAGATACAGAAAAGGAAAACAGATGATGGATGAGAAACGTTATCTTACATGAATCCAAAGCTCTGGAGAGAAGATGTAATCAGAAGAAGGATTGCGCGGTTTGGAAGTGGTAATAATCTCTTTCGTGGACAGAAGCAGCTGATTGAAAATGGACCATATTCCTCGGCGCCAGGGTTTAAGCGGCAGGCGCAGGGTTTTGTCTTTTCGCAGCCATTTTTATGTTTTCGTTTTCCTGAATTAATAAAAAAAAAGAAAAAGAATTCTCACCATATTTTTTAAACCAAAAAATTTCCTTTTTTTTTTTTTTTTTTTTTTGGCGATTTTACATTTTACCTCCGAATTTTGGTTCAATACCAGAAACCCCTGTTTAGGGGGTATATGATAATAGTACCAAAACTTAAGGGGTTTAAAATGTAATTCTCTCTTTCTCTTTTGTTTTTCGTTTTTGTCTTTTTTGGGTGCAAAGAGGCAAGAATGAAGGGTGTAATTTCTATAAGTAGCACGTTCAAGTACAGAAGGAAAGAGAAGCGAGAAATCACATTAAATTTTTGTGTGTTTTTCTTTAAAAAAAAAAAAAAAAGAAAAGAGAAAACCAGGAATGACATTTTGTGTAGGTTATGCGGAATATTTGTACTCAAGAGGATGAAGAAATTTTTTCACCAAGTTTTGGTGAATGGAGCTGTGGTTTGAGTTTCCTTTTTTCATGGAACTATTGCAAAGATCAATTGTGGACATCTTTTTATCAAATGTAATGCTAATAATATATAGATTAAACCGTGGTCTTTTGTTTTTCTTTCCTTAAACAGAAAGATGGGAAAATGAATGAATCCTAAGCAAAAATCCAAAACCGAATTCAGCGAGTTTGGTCACGGCTCACGCATATAGCTAGCTAGATGATGCAATGTAATATGTAAAAGACCTTTAGAACGCAAAAAATATGAGTAAGAGACACATGTGTAAAGTCTTTTTGTGTTAATCATTATCTCTTTGTAAATTTTGTCTTGCCTTTGGAGTCTTTCAAAAAAAAAAATCCAATGTGATTGTTTTAAGTGTTTCATATATGTTGTACAAGTTAGTAAAAGTCCAATTTGTAAACAATACTATCTACTGAGCATATGTACTTGTGTTCTAAGTCCCAATGATGCGTATTCTGCAGTGTCTCCTATGGCTACAATAATGAATTTTTGGAACAAAGGCTCAAATATGACGATTAAACTGTACAGTTTTTTCTCCCAGGAAATATGTTGGCCAAGTAAAATTGGCCAGAAGAACTTAATATGTGAGAATCTCATGATGAGATCTTCACAGGGTTGGCACCTAAGTAACAAATTTCACGATGTAGTAGCACGGAGCTATCGACAATCAGTTTTGTTTTATAAATCAAATCACGATGTAGATGGTGTCTCAGGTGCCGGAATGAAGGGTTCTAACCCGGGAAAACATGCAGCCACACGGCGAGCACAGAGCGAGCCATCCTTTTCTAACTGATGAGGGAAAGGTTCTGAGATTTTACAGTTTTGGTACACTTCCCGCGCTGGATGGACATGTTTCCCCCAAAAATCAGATAAAGCAATCTTGATCAGATCCCAGTAGTCTCTATCCCGGAACAACCGAAACAGACTACTGCCATTCAGAGTCCAAACATACATGTCCATCCATTCCCGGTCAAGTATTTCCATTAAACCTTGAGCCTGCGGGATATAGTAAAGAGGTATCCGTTTCCATGGGGGAGCTTTCGTGTTTTCCCCTTCCAAGTATTAAGGGCATTTGATCTCTAAAACTCCTCCATAAGGCAAACTGTACATGTCAACCAATCCATCAAAGGAAGCAGCAAGCCAGTCATCTTCATTGTCCACCTGAAAACCAGCATTGGATACAGTAAATTCAAATTCAGTTATTTCCTTATACCTTTGAAGAGCATTCTCCTCACTGATATTGCTCCAACTAGTAGCCAAGTGGGGGGAGTGACCAGGAAATGGTTCAACGACACCAATCTTCTCCCCCCAGAGCTGGACCTTCTCAGAGGCCAGAAACCAATAGCACTACTGAAAGTACTAGCTGTCAACTTATGCTTCCTTATATCTTCCCAATTTTTGGAGCGGTTCTGGAGACAAGGGGCTTCAAAAAAAGCATATGATTCTCTAGAATCCAGGCGAGTGTGGCTGTAATATCTTCTGAGTGATGAAAATCTGCAAGTGATTAAATTACTACTACCGTTTTTGTAACTGTGGGATAACGGATTGCGAAAACAGCAAGCAGCAGAATGCAAATCCTTCACAACTTTGGTCACTTGAGATGGACCACATGTAGCTTGCAGTCTGTAATAACAAACAAGAGGTTTCTTAGAAGAACTTGTAATACAGAACTTGATTCTAACTGTAGCAAATCTACCTCAATTCATTATACACATAATATTTCCCCCATAAACGTGAGCAATAAACATCCAAAACCTTAAAAATCCAGAACAAGTCAAAAAGGGAGAAGCGCAGATGGGCTAGAACTCGCAATTTTCTAAAAAGCATGCAGTCAGTTAATCGGTGGGGATTCCATCTCCAATTGCCCCCAACCACTATGAAGATGGTAAAAGACACCCAGAAAATTACACACGGGGAAAAAGAAAAGAAACGATTGAGCATTGTCCTTCCCTCCCATTTACTTGAGAAAGCAACATAAATGAATGAAGTAAAAGAAGATTCAGTTCATAAGAGCTCCCAAAATTCCACTGAAAGAAACTCCAGCTCAAGCTATGTCAATGGTTTCCAAACCAGAAAGCAAAATTAACACCCAAATCATATTTCACAGTGCACAATTACTCGCCAATTCAATCTTTTAACTAATGAACTTGATCGGTAATTCCCTTTTCCCTTTTTCTTCTTAAAAACAAGTTCAATTTCAGGTCAGGGGGGGAAAAAAAAGGCAAAAAACTTTAATTTGTCAAGAAACCCAGAATTGTACTATTATTATGCAGTAGAAAACAAACCAATTAAACAAGAACCCGGCAGCCACCAAAGAGATACGGAAAAGAAAAGAGGGTGATGAATCATAAACTTTGCCTTACTTGAATTCCAAGCTCCTGATAGAACAAGTATCCCAGAAAGTAGGAATGGTCTTAAGACTCTTTCATGAAGAGAATTGAATCAAACTGTGGAGGGCTTTTCTTGGATTGATGCAGGCGCAGGGTTTTTGCATTTTTAAAATCTTTTCCTTTTCAATTAAATAAAAAGCAGAAAATGGTAATAATTTCTAGAATGGGCTAAAAATCACGGAGTGATAATGATGGGCCAAAGTTGAAGTATCTGTGCATAAGCCCATTCGTGCAGGAATTAATTCATATTTCCAAGTCCAAACTGTACTGAGAAAAAATGAATATAACTGCAATACTAATACTAATACTAATATTATCTACAAAAAAAAAAAAAAAAAAAAAAAGAAGCAGCAACAACGTAAGTATGTACTTCATACTTCCAAATGATCTGTAATGTGTCCTATAATGAATTTAGATTGAGGTTAAAACTTAAAATATGCAGAGAGAACTTTACACTTTAGGACATAAGCGGGTGAAGTAAAAGACCCAAAAAAAAACCTAACAAAATAGTGAACAAAAAAAAAAAAGGTACTCTGGTACACTTGATTAGTAGTTTCATAATAAGCCTACAACTGGAGAATGTGCAAATATTAACTTGTCTTTGTTGCCTTTGCCTCCCCAATTCTGGGAAATGCTTTTTCTTCTTGGCTTTGCCTCTCCAAGCATTGTTATAATGTCCCTCATGGAAGGCCTCTCCTTTGGAAGCTTTGCAGTGCAAAGAAGTGCAATTTTCAGCACCAGAAGCATCTCTTCTTGTACATATTTACATTGTCCTGTCACTTCAGGATCTAAAACTGATTCTGAGGCTTTGTTGTTGACCTTTTGTCGAACCCATTCGACGATGTCGACAGATTCACCAAAGGATGAATCCAATGGCAATTTCCCTGTTAGAAGCTCCAGAAGCACAACTCCATAACTGTATATGTCACTCTTCTCATCAACTTTTAATGTGTATCCATATTCTGCAATAAGACACATTAACATAGATATATATGAGCATGATAATGCAGATGAATGAATTAAAACCAATAAGTTAAGTTCATTGATAAAACTAACCAGGAGCAATGTATCCATATGATCCAGCCACCATTGAAACTGTTTCATTATTGTGAAGCATTGTCCTTGCCAATCCAAAATCAGCTATCCTTGCCTCAAAATCTGAATCCAGCAGAATGTTGTTAGACTTGACATCGCGGTGGATCACAGGCGGATGACAATCGTGGTGAAGGTAGGCTAATCCATGAGCAACTCCAAGAGCAATGTTGTACCTTGAGACCCAATCAACCAGCATTTTCCCTGTCTGTTTGCCATGGAGAGCTGCGCCGAGACTTCCATTTGGCATGTATTCGTAAAGCATCATAACGTCATTGGCATTGTGTACATAACCCAATAATCTTACAATGTTCCTGTGTCTTAGTTTCCCTAAAAGATTCACTTCTACAAAGAGATCATCTCCAGCTTCCACATCTGCCTCTGATCTCCATAGTTTCTTGACAGCTACAACACTGTGAGGCCTTTGAGTTTCTGCCTTGTACACGATTCCTGTCCCACCAACTCCAATGACATTGGACTCTTTTAAGCTAGCCACTATGTCATCGCTTGTGAAATGTAGCCTCTGGAATGCAACAAGCCTCCAGGGCCATTCTGTGTTTTCTCTCTTGAACATATCTCTGAAGAAACTTCTGTAGATATACCACCGGTTATGTATCCGTCTTCCCACCAGTACAATAAGTACAATGGCTAACAGGACAGAGATTCCAACCACAAATCCTATAACGACATGATGAATGTGAACTTTCTGCCGCGCAACACTTCTAATGGAGTGAGAACAAGGGGGAAGGACACCACCACAAAGACCAGCATTGCCAGTGAGGTCACTTGGATTTATGGTGGCTAATATACCATGGTATGGAACAGGACCCTCAAGCCTGTTGTAGGACAAGTTAAGCATTTCAAGGGCTGGTGAGCTTCCAAAACTTGGCGGTATCTTTCCAACAAGAGAGTTGTTTGATAAATCAAGGATGGATAGAGTTGGCATTGATGCGATTGGACTAGGTATTTCTCCAGCCAGCCAGTTATTTCGAAGATTCAAATTAACTAGCTTTTGACAAGAAGCAATGCTTTGTGGAATTTTACCTGAGAAATGGTTGCCCGAAAGATCAAGCACAGATAGAGATGGGCAATCCTGGAATTGATCTGGGATGCTGCCTCCCAGGTTATTATTGGAAGCCATGAAAGCTTGAAGGTGAGGGATGGATAGAATGCTTGAAGGAAGAGATGACTCAAGGCGGTTAAAGGAGACATCAATGAAGGAAAGGGAAGTAGATAAAGTAAAATCTTCAGGGATTTTACCAGTGAGATTATTATTAGCTACTTCTAGCCTTTGGAGGATTGGAAGATTTCCAAACCCGAGGGGAATTGGTCCAGATAAATGATTGTTCTGGATTCTAACTCGAAATAAGGAAGAACAATTTGAAAGGCCAATTGGAATAGAACCAGAGAAAGAATTGTTGAAGAGAATGAGTTTCATAAGGTTACCAAAGTCACACAGGCCTGGAGGAATCTCTCCTGATAATGAGTTTGATGAGACATCCAACCACTGCAAAGGAGAATTCTTTCCCAGATTCGCCGGCAATTTACCTGTCAATGAGTTCTTCCACAATGCAAGTACCTCAAGTTTTGTTAAGTCTCCAATCTTTTCAGGAACAGTTCCAGTGAGCTGGTTGCACATGAGATTCAGCAGCTGCAAATTATTCAACTCTGCTATTTCTTTCGGAATCTCCCCTGAAATTTCATTGAAAGAGAGATCCAAATACACGAGAGACGACAAGTTTCCGATTTCAGGAGGTATACTTCCTGAAAAGTTGTTCTGATACAGGTAAACTGTAGTCAGATTCTTCAACTTGCCAAGTTCAGCAGGTATCTGACCACTCAAAGTGCCAACCGCCAAATCCAAGTACTGAAGGCTACTCAGATTCCCAAATTCTGCAGGAATGGAACCTTCAAACTGATTGTATCCAATGATGATTGTCTCCAGAGAGGATAACTGGCCAAGCTCCGGAGGAATCTTTCCTGTCAGATTATTACCTGAAAGGCCAAGAAACTTCAACTTCTGCAAATTCTTAAAAGAAGCTGGAATTGAACCTTCAAAGAAGCTCCCCCTAAAATCCATGATCTCCAATAAAGTTGCATTGGAAAGATCCTCTGGAAGCAAACCCTCAAAATTGTTGCTTGATGCATTGATGACCTTCAATTCTGGAGCACTTCCAAGCCCAACAGGAAATTTGCCAACGAAATTGTTCTGACTGACATCAATGATCTTCAACGAGGCGAGGCGGCCTAATGAAGCAGGCAATGCAGATGAGAACTCATTGCAGCTGATATTGAGGAAAGCAAGACTCTTTAACCCTTCAATCTGCTCTGATACTTGACCACTCAAATTCATGTTAGAAATATCAAGCCTTTCAACAAAACCATCAGAGTTGCAGGAAACACCGGCCCAGTTACAGTGAACTGAACCGCCTTTCGCCTCATCACTTGGCAATTTCCAATCTTTAAGGCCATCCAGTGGATCAGTGAGGTTGGATTTTATTGACAGTAAGGATGAAACCTCAACATTTGGAGCTCCCTCAACAAAAACAAGAGTGAACCCAATGTAACAGTAGAAAAGAATGGTAAGCTTTGTTAACATTTTCTCTTTCTTCTTCCTTTTTTTGGGCTTCTTTTTCCTTTTCAGATTTCAAGTTTTGTTCCCTTTGATCAGTTGTGTATCATTTTTTGGCTCTTGGGAACAAAGGTGGAAGATGGAAGAAAAATGAAATTTTATATGATCTTAAAAGAAAAGGGATGAAAGACATGATTGGTCAATCAGTGAGTTATGAGAATGGGTCCTATGTCCAATCTGTATTAACAATCAATAATGTATCCAAGTTTTTTTAGTGAATGAATGAACAAGAGGGGAATCTGCAGAGAGATTAAACCCAAAATTGATGAGGGTATTGGAATCTGAGACAGCTAGCTAAGCCTAAGATGATTGTTCCAAAAGTTTGTAATTATTGAACAATTATACCGACAAGTTAAACATGGTTGGAATTGGAATGTGGTTTTAAGCAACTTATAATAGTATATATTGATGATCAGAGGTCAACCTTAGAGTACATGACATAATCCTTTGTTTCATTTCCTAATGTGTCAAAAGAGAGAGTACTTCAGTCAATCTGAGGAGTTGCAGTAATAAAAGCTTTTTTTAATAAATTTTCTTATTTGAACAGAATGGTCTGGGTTAATTTATCAGAGAGGACAACCGTCTTAGATTTTAATTACTACGTCAAAATGGTCTTTTGGATTTCAGTTGTTCATGCTCCAAAAAAAAAATTACTGGTAACAAACTCTCATGAAGGCAAGGTAACCACCACATATGTATCAAAATCTGAAAAAGTGATTCAGGTGACCACCAAAAGTATGGACATTCCGGAACTAAAATCCTTACTAACCACGTTTTCTTTGTCGAATTTCCTGACCATACTTAGAAAGAAACCGTCATTGTGTTTATTGTTCTAAAATAGTTCAACGGACAGAATTCTTACTTTGGTCCGAACTAGAAAGTATGATTTATGACAATTTCAAGAATATTAAACAAATTTTGAGTTGGGGGTTTGAAATACACTGTGTTTCAAGCAGTTTATGACTTAAAATGCATGCTGCCATATTCAACAAATTTGAGGTGGACTTAATTCACTGTACCACATGCATAAGTGAAACAATAATCATTAATGTGTGTTTCCAAGATAATTAACAGATTATATCAATGTATGAGAGAGTAGCAATTGGACAAATAATATTAAGTTACTGCAAGGTATATCTAGCTAGGCAGTGCGTAAGAAACTGAAATTTTTGGGCCCAAGTAAAAGGAGTTCACACGCGCATTTAATCACCCAATTTTATCCTCCCTTTTTTGGCATTTAATCCCTTAATATTATCCCCTTTTTTTGACATTTAACTCCCTGATCTTATCTTTTTTTTTTTGGCACGTGATTAATTTTAAATCTTTTTTTTTTCCTTATCATGTTAGCTTTTATATTATTTTATTTTATAAGATAATTTTTTTATAACGATGAATTTTATTTTAGTAAAATTTACTATAGCTTAATCATTGAGACTTATGAATATGGAGAATCAATGTGTATTTTCTCATTAATAAATAATCAACGTTTAGACAATGAATAATGTTATGCAATTATTGAAAGATGAATGATGTAGAATGTATTCGTTTTATTGGTGAATATACATACGTAAGGTAATGCGTAATATATAGTTACTGATGAACATGAATTTCATTGTTATTTTTTGGCAGATGGTGTATCATCTTGTTAAGAGTTTACGATGAGTATCTTATTTTAAGTAATGAATAACCAGTTGTTATTGATGAATAACAGATGATGTGCTTATTGGACGATACTTCAACTATGAGGAATGAATAACAAGTTGTTATTGATGAATAACAATGCAAACCTGATGAATAATGATCTCATCATAAACAAATAACAATATTACAATGAAGAATAGTTGTAGTTTACTAGATGAATAATTATACTTTAAAGAATGAATAATATACGTTAGTAAATGAAGAACTTTGATAACAAGAGTATATATTACAATGGTATAATGTAAATAACTAAACTGACAAACTTCTAATTATGGGTTATACTAGACAAAAAACGAACAAAAAAACTAGTCACTATTATTAAGATATAAGGTCTTGAAAAATTTGTCGATGTTCGATTCGTTTATATTGATTGATTGATTTCAGCAACTCTGATAAAAATATTTTATTCTCGACCGATCAACTTTATCTTGATGAGCATTTCTTTGCTGCTGATCAAACAACAAGAACATTATAATAAATGAGATTTGACATTCAATCAAAACTCTATTAATCATCATAACAATGCTATTGAAGATAAAGAATCATTTTGAAAATGATGAATAAGCATTAACATTACATAAATCGAATCCAGTTAATAGCAATCGTGCACATGTGCATATTAAACGATGAATAACGACATTATTGGTGATGAATGCCATATCTTTGTATGATGAATACACATATCTATGGAATGAATAACGTATGTTCACATGATGAATGACATATATTAACAGGATGAATATCACAATTCTATAGGATCATTGACACATTTACAATCGAACATAGAATAACAACCCTTTACTGATGAATAACTGCTAATGATTTAATGAATAATTGTACATAGATGATGAATAAACTTGGAGACAATGAATAACAACCCTTTACTGATGAATAAATAAGTCGATCTAATGAATATCACAACGGCAATGAATAAATAAATCGATCTAATGAATATCTAATGATGAATAATATATTCGCAGATGATGCAAACATAAAAAAAAAAAAAAACAATAACAACAAATATCTGATGAATCATATTGACTACGTGATGATGAATAATATCAGTATATAGAAACAATTTATCGAAGTAACCATAAAAAAATTAAAAATTCTAAAACATTGATGAAGTGTTATAGAAAACTGATGAATAATGCATAGATCTCTTTATCTTTTACAAAACGAACATAATTTTAAAGAACAAAACTAATAACTTGATGAACTAACATTAGTAATCAAGAGATTAGTCTTAGATTTACATAACCCAAATATGCGGCTGACCACAAATATATGATGAATAATGACATCGATTTGATGATTAATGATACCTAAATGAGAATTACTGTCAGATCTACTAACAATTTATCAAATCAACCATAAAAGGATGAACAAGACTAAAAAATAATGAAGAAACATCATTTCCCAAATTAACCACATTTCGTTGAACAAAACTATTAAATTGATGAACCAACATCAGTAATCGAGCGAATAATCTTAGATCTACATAACCCATTTAAAAAAAAAATCATTTGTTTAAGAGACCAGTAGTTTTCTGGCCAAATCGATGGAGAAAACAAATAAAACTGATGCATTTTGTTTATATATTACCTTAAATCGCATCTTGAACAGAGTATATTTTCACAATTTCCACTGAATTTGATGCACAATCTGATTCCGGCCCATAAAATCCAGCCAACGAGAGATTTTCTGGCCAAATTGTTGTAGAGAAAATTTAGTTTTTGAGATTTTTTTTTGAGACGGATTGTGATGAATGGGGTGAAAGATGGATATAGTTAATGGCTGAAATGAGGAGGAAATGAGGGATTTGAAATTTCAAAAATCATACAAAAAGGGGAATTAAATAAGATTGTGATAAATATTGAGAGATGCCATTTTTTGGTCGCGTGAGACTCACATAGGTGTACTTAGGAGCCTTATATTATAACCGGTAGCAATTGCATGTGTACTTACCAAATCGATTCGTACCATACTTAAAACTTCCACATTATATATTTTTGGGGTTTTAAATAAAATTAAGCAAGCAAATTGAGGAAAAAAAGATGCATGTTCTAAGATTATTCATAGTTGATCTTTATACCAAGCAAGAAGATATTAGGGCATCTGTGCATGTTCAAGAGTATCGATCGAACAAAATGATGCAAAGAACTGAAAAGAAAAAAGTGACAATATGGAATTAGATAATTTCTCTAAGGAAAAACAAGAGCACTATAGCAATGATTGGTCTGAGTATACCAAACACCACGATTCCTCCACACTTAAATAATTAATCAAAATAAAAATTACAAAAAAAAAAAAAAGAAAACAAAAAGCACTGCTCTGCTCTACTTTGTATCCCTCCACATGCAAACAACATGCCCAGAGAGTAGAATAATCTAATCAGAGAAAAGTACAACCATTTCGAAATTTAATATGGCAAAAAGGTTCCAAAAAACAATAATAAGTTTCTTGAAAGAGGACATTGATTGAATTGTGTGCTATAACATAATAAGTTAATAATGGAGGCTTTTTCTCTCAAAAAAGGTTTTTAGAGGACCTGGAACCCATGTGAAGGAAGAGGAGGAACTGGATGGCTGATGGATGAATGAATGAATGAGGTTTCCCTTGGAGAAGAAAGAATGAACTTTCTTCCAAACAGCCATCTTGGATAGCCAACTCATTTCAATTATTTTGGAGGACACCCTAGACATTGGCCATTCCACCCTGCCTAGGTTTTCCATCTCTTATATCCATCTTTGTTATCTGGAAAAATTTATGCCTGATTTGTTAACAACATTAGATACATAAATCTTTCACGAAAAAAAAGTGACTTCTAATTTATATATTTAGCATAAAATTAGAAGCTCAATTAAGTTAGTTGTAAAAAATTTAAAATTTACTGTTATGTTATAACTTCACTATATATAGATAAATCAACGAAAGAGTTTATTATAAGAAGTTGTCATCAGATCCGCTAATCTCTAGTTCCATGTAAATCTTAAAATTTTCTTTCGCAATGGAGCACAGGGGTCCAATGGTCCATGAACCTTAGCTAGCGGCAAAAACAACTAAAAAATGGTGGCACAAGTAGTAACATCAAACCCAACGGGGAGCAGTAGTAAATTTACTTTGACTACCATTCAAATTTAATCGATTGTGAATGTCCACCATGTCAGATTCATGGTCCTGATGTTAAGAAGTAGTTTTAAATTGATGATGAGGGATTGCAATAGGCTGGTATGTTAAGGGGAGCTAATTTTCCAACGCTGAGAACCAGCGAGACCCAACCCATGTCAAGACCGGTGCTGGAGAGCGAAGTCAAGAAGGTTATCTTCGAGATGGGTTCATACAAAGCTCCGGCTTTTTCTTACAATTTAGTCTAAGGGCATAACATAATCTAAAACCTCAATATAATCACATATGTAAATGATCATACTAATTCATAAGTTCTCGTGCACTTAGTGGTGCTAATTGATACTACTAATTAATTGCTGATATGATTTTATCTACAAAAAATCATATTCACACTTATTTTGTTTGCTATTCAAATCATAGCGGATACTCAAAATTCACTCATTTGTTCTAGAATTTTTTAAACTTTGAGAACAAAAAAACTTTGATACTCTTCTTTGTTTTTATTTAATTGTTTGTAGTGAAAAAGGAAATTTCAGTACATATGATTTTCAGTCTTTCAAAACCGTGTTGATAGTCTCTTTGTTGGGTTCAATATTGGAATTACCTGGCCGCCAACTTAGGAGCCCAAAATTTATTTATTTCTTCCCCAAAAACTTAGGAGCCCAACAACAGTCTCTTGCGGAGTTTAATCAGGCCAGCCAACCTTTTAAATTGACATATGTCCAAAAATTTACCGAAGGCTGCTGCGACTACGAACAGGATCTGAGAGAGATCATACCGAACTTCAAATCGAAATAACCAAGTAAGAGACCTCATGTTCTACGGTTAAATTTGATGGGTTCATACAGTTGGCTTGAGAATTGAGACCCTTTTCCTTCCCCTTCCCCTTCCCCTTCCCCTTCCCTTTCCGTCTAATTTGGTGATATTTGGCAGAATGTTCTGATTGAATGTTTGATTTACTGGGATTTGATTTTTCTGTACTTTATTTGGCTTCAATATAGGGTTTATGTTCTATTGAGGCGTCGAAATAGGAAATTTCAATTTTTAAATGCTTTTAGTTGGATTTGATCAGAAATTAAATTGTATAAGCATGTAATTTGACAGTCATGAAGGCTGCCGTCTTTACGTTAGCTTAGGTTACATAAGGGAAAAAGAAACCTTCTTGACTGGAATCTGGTTGCGTGATTTATGAAATTTGACTTTTTAGTTGTATCTTTTAATACGGACTTGGAACTGTTTGTTGCCTGTTGGTGTATTTAAGCCAAATTTAGAACTCATCGATTGTTAGAGTTTAGGAAACTACGTAGCTATCCGTCTAGGAATTGTATCTCCAAATACATCTATGATTTCCTGTTGGCTGGCTTGGTTTTTTCTTTCTTAATTTCTTTTTGTTTTTGACAATAAAGTTTGGAATTCTTAATCCTTTTACTCCTGGGGAAGTACCAGAAAACTTCTATATATGCACGAGAGCTCCTACAACCCTTTATTGTTCTCCTCTCTTCCTTACAAATCTCTGGTCTTTCTGAAATTTTCCTTTTGTTCCCCTTTTCCTGTGCGTGTTTAGCTATCTATAATTGTTTAACCTGAAACCTAATACATATTGTTTCTGATTGAAATATTCTTGCTAGTTGTTTCACATCACCATGGAACTTGGGTCTCACAACGAGTCAGGCCAGCCGAATTTCCTTCAAGAAACAAGGTCCCTGGCTCCAAGGCAATCAACTGGAGAGGGACAGATCCTACGGAAGCGAAAAGAAGCAGAGCTCCTGCATCATCCTAAACGGGAACCGAGTTGTCGCGAGGAATATGAAGCCCAAATTGCATGCCGGGCTCACAAACAAAAATTTGTCGCTGTAACGAAACGCAGGTTGCAATTTGAAGAACAAATAAGCGAGGACCCTTCCAACAAAAGCGCTTATGTGGAGTATGCAAAGTGGCAAGAAGAGTATACCAAGTGGCCTGTAGGCGTCAACGTTCTCGCTGCACGTGGCACTTGGCAAAAAGCCTTGTATGTACCTCGGCATCGCCAGGATCCTGAGATGTGGAAGGAATATGCACATTTCGAGATGAGAAACGGGTTCATTACCGAAGCCCGGGATATATGGTTCAGTGCTATCCGGGTTTTGCCTCAGGTTGACGAGCTGTGGAAAGAGCATATTCGTATGGAGGAAATGCTTGGAAATTTTGAAACTGTTGGGATAATCTTTGAGCTCTGGATGAAGCAGCATCCAAGCCAACGAGGGTGGGTATCATATATTGAGTTTGAGTTGAAATATAATGGAGTAGAGAGCGCTCGGGGGATATTTGAGAGGTTTGTGGAGTGGTCACCAAAAAATTGCTACGCCTGGATCAAATATGCAGCACTGGAGAGATCCTCAGGTGAAATTGAGCGAGCCAGATCCATTTTTGAGCGTGCTTTTGACCAACCGACTCTAGACAGGCCTGACTTGTTATATAAGGCTTTCACTGATTTTGCCAAGGCTAGCCTAGGGGATGTAGGGGATGTTGATCAATTGCTGAAGAAACTAAGAATTAAAAAGAAGGAAGAAGATGGAGTTTGCCTTGGATGATGGATTCTACAGAGAAGAAGAAAAAGGAGAAGCATGCATCACCTCAATAAGATTTGGAACGTGTTCTCAATTGAAAGAAGCAACAGAAAATTTGTCCAAAATAGTTTTTTATTAGGTATAACCTAATCTGTCGGAGATGTTGTAGTTGTTCAATTGAAAAATAATCAATATATATTATAATTGCTTAATGTAAATTTGAGTTTAGTAGTCCATTTTAAGTATTTTAAGTATTAATAACTAGGACTTTTTTCACTTTTTTTTTAAATTAAAAAAATGAAAAAATTTTATATTTTACATTTGGTATTCCTTTAATGTTATGACTTTTTAGCTTCTTCCATTGATTTTTTCTTTTATTTTCATTTTAAAGACTAAATATGAAAAATTAATTCATTTGTAGTCTCTTTTAATTATTAACTAAGAGTTTTTTTTTTTTTAACCTTTTCAAAACTGCCTCTTTTTAAACAAGAAAATGAAGAGGCTTTATGTGTTATATTTGGTCATTTCGTGTTATGATCTTTTATGTCTTTCCATTAATTTATTATGTCTTTCCATTAATTTATTATTTTAAATATTATGAACAAATTTGAGTTCGGTAGTATTAATAACTGGGAGTTTTTCCACTTTCTTTTAAATATTATTTTATTTTTAAGTATTAATAACTAGGACATTTTCCACTTTATTAAACCAAGAAAATGATAAGATTATATGTGTTACATTTGATATTCCTTTAATATTATGACCTTTGATATCCTTCCATTGATTTTTTCTTTTATAAAGACCATTTATGAACAACTTAATTCATTAGTAGTCTTTATTCACTATTGACTAGGAGGTTTTTTTGCCCCTCTTTTTTAACCAAGAAAATGAAGAGACTTTATGTGTTCATTTGGTCCTTTGATGTTATGACCTTTTACTTCCTTCCATTAGTTTATTCTTTTATTTTTATTTTAAAGATTATGAACAAATTAATGTTCTTTATTAGTTAGGAGTTTTTTTCCTTCTCTCATACCCAAGAAAATGAAAAGATTTTATATGTTACATTTTCTACTCTTTTAATGTTTTGATCTTTGATTTTCTTCCATTAATTTCTCTTTTATTTTTACTTTAGAAAATTTAGAACAAATTAATGTTTCTTGATTTCAACTAGAGCATTTTTCTAGCTTTAAATTTTTCATATATCTTTTATTCTTCTCTTCTTTGAATTTTAAGATTTCATTACTGAGAATTTAAACAAATTATTTTATTAACTCAAATAGAATACTAAGAGTTTCGCATCTTTTTGAATTTGTCGATAATTATAGTTCTCGAAATAAAAGTTTTGACACATTTATCTTTTTCTTTGTTACGAGTGTTCATCCTCTGCTCTCGATTGCCTTTTCATCCCAAATTCATTGAGGGTAATCACCATTATTTTTAGTCCTTTTTTTTATGAAACTTTAAATTTAGATTTTTCTTTCTTCTATTCTTTTTTCTTTATTGGGGGATAGGTTGTTATGTAAAAATTTGATTGTATTCTATTGTTCATTTTGTATATGTGTGTTATTTTTTTCTTAGAGTTAAAATATTATTGTATAGTTACACTAAATTTTGAAAAATATTCACTTACGTGCGAAGCGCGTTTATTCCATCCAGTATATTTATAATTTTAGAAGAGGCGGAGGTTGATTTTTACTACTTTGAAACGATCGAGCAGGGTCTGTAAGAAAATTTTTATTTTACTTGAAACTATTTATTATTGAGTGGTCTTGTTCAATTTATTATTAATTGGATGTATGTCCTGGAGAAGAAAAATTGGCTAATCTACCATAGGCTTTACATGCGTTGTCAATTCTACCTTATTCTTTTTCGATTAGTTAATATTACCCTAAGCTATCCAACCGTTAGCCGATTTTGTCCAATCTGCTCTTTTCCGTTTAAATTAACGGAATTCTATTTGTATTAATTACAAAAATACTCTAATAATTTTAAAAATTATAAAAATGACCCCAAAATTTACAAAAATAAAAAAAAGTCTCTTTTCAGTTTTTGTTTAATTTTTTTTTATTTCTTTTTAATATTTTCGTAACTATAAAAATATACTATATGATCTTTTTAAAAAAACTATTTTTTTAAAACTCTAATATACAAATTTATAATTTGATATTTGTAAGTCATGTTTAATTTACATAAACATATTATTTTTTTAATAATATGCTTTAACGGTAATGATATTATTTTTTTAATCCATTTTTTTCAATCTAAAGAATAAGATTATTTAACTAAAACCAATTTTACACAAAAAAATAACACATTTAGCATAGATTAAAAAAGAAGTTATTGGTATACTTTAATGCATTACAATTTAATTCAACAAACTTTAGGTTGTATCATAAAATTTAAAAATAATTAAAACTAAGATATAAATTTTTCTGTAAAAGGCCAAGTACGAAAAGAAAGTAAAAAAAAAAAAAACCACCTATTTCATTTCTACATTGGCCCAACACAAGAATATAGTGTCATGGCATTACAAAAATGGTACAAAATATTTTATAAAAAAACATTTATATTTATCATTGCGAGGGTTCAACATTTTGCGATAATTTTTTGAGATATTAATATATCTAACTTTAGTAGAAAGTCTTTTTTTAAAGAAAAAATTATATAAAAAAAATCTATTCCAGTACTGGACTCCATCTTTATTTAAAAAAAAAAAAAAGAAAAATTAGATTGCCCCAGTGAGAATCGAGACATCGAACACAATAATTTCATCTCACATCCTAAATCACCTGACCATCTAACCCTCTCGCCTTTAGTGGACCCCGCTTAAATATGGATAAAATCACTCTCCTGGTTAGAAATCCTTTGGTGAGACTTAATCTTATATCTACTCTCATGAAACAGAAAATTTGGCCGACTATTTTTTAATTTTTTGTAAAAAATTTTAATTTTAGTAAAAAAAAAATCTTATTCTTTAAATTGAAAAAAATGGATTAGAAAACTAATATCATTATTTTCTAGCCATAGTATTAAAAAAATTAATATGTTTATGTAAATCAACCATGAATTACAAATATGTATATCTATAAATTTGTGCAGTATTGTTTAAAAATAAATTTTTATTCTAATAGATTATATAGTATATTTTTATAGTTATGAAAAATAGTAAAAAGAAATAGAAAACAGAAAAAAAATTAAATAAAAAGTGAAAAGAGACTATTTTGTTATTCTTACAAATTTTTAGGTTCATTTTTATAATTTTTAAAACTATGATGATATTTTTGTAATTAAAACTAACAGAAAATTCGTTAATTTAAACGGAAATTGACAAATTGGACAAAATCGGCTAATGGTTGAATAGCTTAGGGTAATATTGGCTAATCGAAAAAGAATAGGATAAAATTGATAACACATGTAAAGGTTAGGGTAGATTGGCCAATTTTTCCGTCGTGGAGATCTTTATGCTTATCTGGGATGCTCAGGAGGCAGAAAAGGAGGAAACCTCTGTCACAGTTGCAACTGTCGGTAAGGTATGTGTGTGGTCACAGTTTGTTTGGACATGAACTTAATGCATTCATTGAGATGTGAATGCTACTTGATAAGTTCAATTAATTTTTACTAAAGGGTTCAAACTTCAAATGTAAGCGATCATGCACTATTCATTTGTTGGGAACTTAACATTTTCAAACTATCTGTAGATCTACGGATTGTAAAGTGTTTCCCAAATGTCGTGTTTGATACAAAGATGTTAATATTGCTATCAGATTCTTACACTTCCAATTTTGCTAATGTCATTGATCCGATGCTTTACAATTTTCAGGGGGGGTCCGAGTTTCACTACGATGTTATCACTTGATGCCTGTTTTGAGGACATAGTGGAGGCTTCACCTTGATATTTAATCTATTAATTATTCTATGACTAATATTTAGGACATCAATCAAAGTGACTAACTAGAAGGTTATCAACTTTCACACTTATCTAGGTAATCGAAGGATGAAAGTCTAATTCTAATGTTCTAGTTCTAAGAGGTCTAACATGAAATCAAACAAGTTGTAAAATTTAAGCACAAATGTATGTTAGTGTTACTTTGATACCTGAATGACCTGTCATAGTACAGCAGTTGAAAATAGATTAGGAGCCATAAGGATAACATGTAATCTGTTGTACATGTCATTTCCTTGGTAGCAGCGTGCATGAAAGCCCTACTACTAAGGTGGTGTTTCCAGCCAGTTGGAGATAAAATTTTGATCTGGACGAGGAAGTTTGTGTACAATAGTTTTGAGTTTGTTGCCATTTGGTCATGAACAAATCATCTTGAGCAGTATTTCCACATTCCTATTGTAGCAGTTAGCATTTCACCATCAATTTTCTTCCCCCTACCCAAACTGAAATACTAAGCCTCCATATGTAAGTTCTTGCAAGCATAGTCAAGGGTGGCTCAAGGTTATTGGGGTCTAAGGCAAATTTTGAAATCGAAGATTTTCGATAATAAAGAATTTTTTTTAAAAAAAATTAACCCTCTTTATTTTTTAAGGTTTGAGACCGGTAACTACAACTCATGAGCCTATAGCAGATGGAGTAAAAAACTTTTTTTATTCCAAATATGATTCATATTAAGTTTATCTTTCTAGCATTTTTTGAAAATATTATTTTTTTATTAAGTTAATTTTTCTAACTATTTTGGTCGCTAATTCTTTTATAAAATGTTCATGATCTATCTCTTCAATTAACTCTTTTTATATTGATAAAATAGTCAATCTATTTAATTTGTCTTGTGACATTATTGATCTTAAATAATTTTTTTGTTAAATTATTTTGAGAAATTCTTTTCTGCTGAAGCAACTGGTGCGTGAATAGTTAACATTATCCTACAGGAAATACAAGAATTTGAAAAAGGATTTATTTTTTTTAATATAATTAAATATGTCAATTGGATTATAATTTTTAGCATTAATTTTAGATCATAAAATAAATCTAAACCACGAATATCTAAACTATCATTGTATTTCAAGGTATTTTGAAGGTTAAAACAACTCTTTTCTAAATTTATGTCATCAAGTGATTTTAATTTTTTCAAACTAAATAGAAAACAAAAAAAAATCGTTCATTTTAACTATGTAATAATGAGATAACAAATCTACTTTGTAGTGATGAGATACCTCTATTAACTATGTAAAGAAAATAATTAGTTCTGAAAAAATTGTGAGGGGTTCTAATAGTTTAATTCTCCACATTTTCATCAAACTGCGTATTTCTAAGAATTTAACGTTTTTCTTCAAATTT